ATTCAAGTCTTCCCCCAGCTCCTTTACAGCACTCCTATCCCTACCTACAAGTCATCTCCTCCAGGAAGCCCTCCCTGATCATCCTAGCTAACACACAGTAATATCTCCATACTTTCTTTCCCCTGACCTTTCATTTTTGCCTTCATAACATTGATCACAAACTGATCTCCTATCCTAGATTTGTTTGCTGGGCACCTGTATCTACTAGAAAGTAGGCCCATAAGGCCTGGTCTTCCAAGTTCTATAGCAGCCAACCAGGAACACAGACGCTGCTGCATGGAAGGTCAAATCAGCTACGTACAGCTTCTCTCAGGTATTACTATTGTTCTGCACTGTTATTTGATATTAGCCCAGCTGTTTGGGTTGGGGAGGGATAAGCACAAATCACCTAGCTGAGCCTCCCCCATCTGTCCCTAAACGGAACAGCCCCAGGCCCTGGGGAATGCGGTGTGAAAACCACAAAGGAGGGAGGCGACCATCACGCCTTCGCTGTTTCTAAGGCAGTGATTCTACTCAAGGGGGAAGTGGGAGGCATGTGAAACTCCCTGACCAGCGACCCCAGCCTCCCCACCCCAGGCAGAAGCCTGAGAACCTCTTCTGGTAAAAGGCACCTTCCGAAGCTTGAAATTTGACCAAGCCGTTCCTCAGAGCAGTCTGCAAGGCTCTGACCCCTGCCTGCCCTCTGCCCCTGGTGTCCCCTCACTCACCCTGCCCTGCCACATGGGTCTCCTCCATGCTGCAGCTCCCTGCTCCTCACCAAGCTTTCAATTCAGGCACTATGGTCGCCCCCACACACACAGCGCACTCCAAGGCTGTTCCTTCTCACTCACCTGGCCCACCTGATCCAATCGGAGATCATCAGTGAAGAGGCCTTCCTGACAGCCCAACTAAGGAAGCTCCCAGTCACACCTGACTCTAACTGACTGCCTAGCACCTCCCCTTAACCTGTCCCTTGTTTATTCACCAGGTTGACGGTTTATCTGGTTTGTCTCTCGGTTCCACGGAGGGAGCAGCTCTGTCCTGTGCACTGCTGCATCCCTGTCACCTGAAGCAATGCCAGGCATGCAGTAGGCACTCAACAAATGCTGCTGGTTAAACAAAACCCTCTGGCTCTGCAACATCTTCAGAATCCAATGCACACTTCTCCCCTCAGCCCAGGTGGCTCTGCACAGCTGGGCCCCTCACTCCCATGAGCACTTCTGCTCCTCACCCAGCTTGCGCCCAGCCCACCCTTCTGCCTCACAGCCTTCAAAAGGGCTGTTCTCACCTGGGTCAAGGCCCTTCCTGCCCAATCCTGGGGGCTGTGGTGGAGATTCAGTAAAAGCACATATAACAAGGGGGTTTAGCAGAGCCTGACATCTAAAAAAGAGCTCGAGTTCTGACCTCGGAGGAGCTCGGGGCAGCAACTGTGTGGGAGGATGAGGAGGCCTGGGTGCTGCACTTGCCACCCTTTATTTGATTATATGTCCCCACCTCCGCCCCAACCCTCCAAAACCTCTGTTTCCTCATCTGGAAAATGGAGATGCTAATTTCAGCTAGGCCCTCTTCCTGGTGGTACCTGCCGAGGCTCTGTAGCCTGGGATGGGCCTTCAAAATCCTAACAGGAGTAATAAGTATTACAGTCGCTAAGATATCCTGAGGGCTCACCGTGTGTCAGGCACTCTTCTGAAAAAGGACAGGAAACATTTACTGGAGGCTGTTACGCCAGCATGGCTATAAATGCTTTCCACAAATTAACCCATTTAACCTTCAGGACAATGTATGGGGTGGGGGTGGAGGGGATAACCATCCCCTGACACAGACAGTGAAAGCTCAGAGAAGTTGAGGAATCTGCTCAAGGTCACATAGCCAGGGAGTGCTTGGGCTGAATTTGAACCCCGTGCTCTGAATCACTTTGGTGCAGCTCCTTACAGAGGTCAGAAACCAGGACACCAGATTCCAGGATTCTGGCTGGCCCAGTTGGACCAGTGGCTGGACCCGGACACCTGAGAGGACTGAGGGTAGGGCATGGGGTAGGACGGATGCCCTCAGGACTGCCGAGTGCGCATCTGCACGGTGTCAGCCACCTTTTTAGGAGTTTTTCGTGGTTGAACTCATTTCATCCTCACAACAGTCTGAGGTGGGTGCTGTTCAGAGCCCACTGCACAAGATGTAAACACTGTACTCCAAGGTCACACAGCCAGAACGTGAAAGCACCAAACCCTGCCCATCATACAATCCATGGGCAGGAAGCTGGAACAGTGATCCCCCATGTTACCCCCTAGCTGTGTTACCCCCTGCATGTCTCCCCTGCTGCTTTCTCCTGGCTCCCAGCACAGAGTCTGCACTGGGTTAAAAGACATCCTGGCTCAACTCTGAGGAGGGACCAAGTTTCACCAGCAAACCCAGAACTACTAGACTGGCTGCCGGCAGAGGTGCTCACAGCAGCCCTGGGCTTGGAGGGGCAGAGGAAAGAATTGCCCAAGGGTGTGGCTAGCAGGGTCCAGGGCAGGGCCTCTGAGGTGCCAGAGACCCACTGCAGTTTGGGATCCGGGGAACAAAGAATGTCTGACACCAGGGGCAAGCTGACTTGGGTTCAAAGCCCAGCCTGCCCCTAGGGTCTGAGGAACCTAGGGCAAAGGGATTCTTCCTGAGTCCCGATGTCTCATTCTGCAAGATGGAGAGAAATCCTATATCCACTCCTGGGAGCAACTAGCTCAGTTCGTCACTTGTTGATAAGATGTTCACTGAGGCCAAACTGGCCAGGGGTTCATATACTACTTCTGGCTGTGACACATCAGGCCAATCATTTCACTTCACAGCAGGTGTTCTCAGTCTCCTTATCTGTAAAATGGGCACCACACTCCTACCTAGCTTATGGGAATCTATAAAATGGGCACAACCATACCTACCTTGAAGGTGTGTTTTGAGACTTAAATGAGCTCACATGTGTGAAAGGGTTGCTACACGCCTGACATACTGTGGATGGCCAATAAACGCTGGCTGTTCCCTAGCTCTGGAAATGATTCGCTTCTCTGTGCTAGTTTCCCCTTCTAAAACGGAGATCGTGCAACAGTACCTCCAGCTCTAGGACATATTCGGCAAGTTAATCCATGTGAGGCACCCTGAATAGTACGTGGCACACAGAACACACTCAATAAATGTCAGCCATCAGTCTCATGATTATTGTTTTTATTGCTCCTGTTAACCCCGTCAGGCAAACCTTCTAAAAACTGGCATAAGGAGACCAGAGAAACTAACCCCTAGTGGAGAAAAATTCAAGAGCCCTACCATCTTGCAGAGACTCAAGGACCGTTCTCTAGGAACCACAGCCAGGAAAGTCAGTCAGCTTAGAAGCCAAGGATGTGGATCAGAAGCAACCATCTGCCCCCTTTGACCCCATCACCAGCCCACGTTAGCTGGGTCAATCAGGGACTACAGCCAGCCCTCCGGGAACTCCAGACCCAGGGCAAAGGCTACCAGGTAAGCCAAGGTCACGAGCTGGCCTAGGGAGCAGGGATAGTGGCTCGAAGCACCCACCCAGGAACCACAGCGAGAAACTAGACCCATGGGGGATGTGGCCACCCTAAGTCCTTCAGAGAAACCATCCTCCTTGATTCCGGCTGGGACAGGGCACCCCTGCCCAAGTCCCCCTGGCCTGTGCAGAGAGGAACAGCTGGGAAAACAGCTCTCAGCCTCATTGTCGCCTAATGGTGAGAGCAACTGTTATCGCCTGGTGGGGAGTGTAAACATGATGGGAAGCTGGACAGCTAACCGGGAAGTTGCAAACAGCCTCATGGCCAGGATGGAGACTGCCATGATCTGTAGTGGTGCCTGGCTCCTCTGTACCCATCGCCAAGCAAGGTCTGGCCAGGACTGAACTCCCCAGTGCTTCTCTGAGAGGGGAAGACAGACAAGGTTGAAAGGCAGACCTGTTTACTCCAGCCCAGGCCTCTCACTGAGCCCAAGCAGCCCCCAAATGAGTGGAAGGGGGTCTTCAGAATCCCAAGGATCCAGACGTCCCCGGTCACCTTGCCTTGACAGAGAGGTGTCCCTCTCAACACTCCTTCCTCCTATGTCTTAACAAGCAGAACCAGGGGCACAGCTCCTCAAATCTAAGCTCAATACCTCCTCCCCTCCCTAATATGGAGCTGAAAGCACAGAAACTTCAGAGGCTTCTAAGACATCTCCTGCCCACAGAAACAAAGCATTTGCCGAGAAAGGGTCCCACACGCCTTAAGATAGGGTCTAATAATATGAAAAGGTTGTGGGACAGACAGCAGTCCCAGGGACCCTCCGATTCCCCCCAAAATCATTAAGAAGTTCAACGCGACCCTCCCTCCTCCGGCTCCGTGTAACCCCCCGAGCCCCACCCACCAACCTCGGGAGGCGAAAGCCTTTCCGCCACACTCCCCGAACACCCACCGGGGCCTGCCCCCCCGCCGCGCGTCCCTCGGAGATCACAAACACCACAACTCTCCTCCGCTCCGGCGCTCCTCCACGCTCAGGATGCCCCCCCCGCAGCACCTCAGTGGTATAACCCACACGGCGCTGCCTCGGCCGCACTTGGTACAGCTCCCTCGGCGGCAGCCCCCCACCTCCCTAGAACACGCTGGAGGGAGCGCTCCCACAGCCCCCAACGGGAACAGCCCCCTACGCCGGGGAAGGCGCGCCCCCCCCCGATGGCTCAGCTGCCGCACACGCGGCGGGCGCTCCCTTCCCATCCCACCCGCTCAGCCCCCAGCGCCTCAGGGGTTCGGTCCCCGCACTCTGGCGTGGCCCCCCCGCGCCGCCTCAGTGGTACGGCCAGCCGCCCCCGCCCCCGGCCCCGGCCCCGGCCCCTCCGGGCTAGTCCGACCGCCCCCGCGCAGCCGCCCCCACTCAGTCCCGGAAGGGGGGGCTCGAGGGCCGCGGTCCCCGCCCGGCGGGCACTGGTGGTACGGCCCAGCGCCGCAGCGCGGGGGGTCCGGACGCGACCATCGTGGGGGGAGGCGCTCGGGGACACGCGCTGGCGCACTCACCTGTCACCGGCGGCCGCCCAGCCTCTCCGGCGGGGCTCGACTCCCGCCCATCGCCACGCTGCGCTTGGTCCCGCTCCTTGTGTTTCCTGGCGGCGGCAACTGCAGCGGCAGCGGCAACGCCTTCTCCGAGCCAGGCCCAACGGCTCGCGCGGCGCGGCCCCCCCGCCCCCTCCCCCCAGCCCCCGCTTACCGCCCCCTCCCACCCTCTGGCCGGAAATACCGCCTTCTCCCGCCACAAACAGGAACTGACGTAAAGAGCGAGAGATGAACTCGGCGTGCGCCAGAGCGCAGGCGCAAGGCAGGGCAAGCGGCTGACTCAGAGCGGGACGCCTGCGTACTTTCGGCAAGTTTGGGTCTGTCTGGGTTAGCGAGGTGCCACGCGCAGGCGCGGGACGGAACGGAGAGACGGGATTGCGCAGGCGCAGCAGGACTCTGACGCCCGCTTTCCCTAAAGGCTCGCCGCAGTGATACTTCCCGGCAGCCCCTGGTCCTTATTTACATACGCTTTGATCTCGCTTTACTGTGATCTCGCCTCGCCTCTGGGTTCCGGGGCTCTTAAAGAGCCCTGGAGCGGGGGGGTTAGGAGAGTTGTCTTCTCCGTGTCCCCTCGTGGTGAGTACGGGCTCGGAAGCCTCCCGAACCCAGCTTTGCATTTCCTTGCTCGTGATAGTAGACAGAAGGCTTGAGCGTCCTCTGTGCCTCTGTGTCCGTATCTGCAGAATGGAAACAGAGCTGCGTCACCGGGCTATTGGACTTTTTAAAATGTAAATAGAACAGTTTATATGTTAGACATTCTGTAACTCCAAAACATTAATCCTACCTGCTCATCATATATGTGCAATTAAATAGGGATATGGGGCAGCCCGGCTGGCTCAGCGGTTTAGTGCCTGCCTTCGGCCCAGGGCCGTGATCCTGGATCCAGGATCGAGTCCCACGTCGGGTTCCCTGCATGGAGCCTGCTGTCCCTCTGCCTGTGTCTCTGCCTCTCTCTCTCTCTCTCTCCTGCTTCTCCCTCTGCCTGTGTCTCTGCCTCTCTCTCGCTCTGTCTCATGAATAAATAAATACTTTAAAAATAAATAAATAGGGATATAGTTTTCTTATGGTTTCACTTGGGCCTAAAAAGACCTTAAAATCGCCGGTGGGGGACGCCTCGGTGGCTCAGTGATTGAGCGTCTGCCTTCAGCTCAGGTCGTGATCCCGGGGTCCTAGGATTCAGTTCCACATCTGGCTCCCCGCAGGAAGCCTGCTTCTCCCTCTGCCTATGTCTCTGCCTTTCTATGTCCCTCATTAATAAATAAACAAAATCTAAAAAAGAAAAGAAAGAAAGATCGCATTGTGAGAAAAGAGCTATGCACAGATCCTGGCCCACTTGTCAACTGTACTAGGCAGCGTGAGACATCTGGCTCCCAGTCCCTAATCTCTCAAAGGTTGGGTAGGGCTTGCTGCCTTCTGAACTTGGGGGCCAGTGTGCCACAGAGCTTGGCAGGTATGCATTGGTTTGTGAGTATTTCCAGTAGTAAAGACTCAGCTGAAAGTTGAAGAGTCGTAGGTCCACCCAAGTCTGAGGGAGTGATGCAGGCAATCCTGCTCAGAGGTGGGCCTTAGTTTCCTCAGAGGTAAACCTGTGCTGGAACTAGACCTTAACTAATGTGTTTCCAGCTTGGAATTTGCTGCTGTGTTCCTCATGGGCTTCCCCCAGCAGTGTTGGTGACGGACCAATGCCTCCCCTACCACAGCCCTGACCAGTTCAGTCTCTTACTGTCTGGTGAAGGGTCTGTCTCCTCCTCTGTGCAGAGAGCCCCATGAGGGAAAAGACCAGGACCGGCTCAGTCATTGCTGTGGAGCTAACACTGCCCAACAAGAGTCTTGGCACAGAGTATGCTCATGGGGACTATTTGTTTTAGCAACTAGTCCTTCCATTAATCTAGACTCACTGTTACTGTGGCGTACCCTCTTTGCCCCCTTCTCTGCTTAACAGTTCATAACCCATTCCCCTATTTTTTTTTAAGATTTTATTTATTCATGAGAGACACAGAGAGGCAGAGACACAGGCAGAGGGAGAAGCAGGCTCCCTGTGGGGAGCCAATTATGGGACTGGATCCCAGGACCCCAGAATCATGACCTGAGCCAAAGGCAGATGCCCAACCACCAAACCATCCAGGTGCCCCTGTCCCCCTATTTCTGAGTCTTCCCAACCTAAGTGGAATCCCTGCCCCTTCTGGGATGGACTACAACACAGATCTCACTGAAACCTCCCATGTGTTCATGTATAAATTCTGTGGGGTAATAGTCCTCAAAAATGATGGCTTTCAACCTACGACCTAGTACACACATAGGCATACTTACCTATAGACATATGTATTTGTATGAAAGTGTCATCAAATACTATTTACTGGTATGTATCATGCACTCAGATTTTTTTCTTCCCCAGTGCTGTTCAAGGCTCTGCTAAACTGCTAAACTGACTTTCTGATCCACTAAAGGGCCATGCCTTGCAGGCTAAAAAACACTAGTCTGGGGGTGAACAACATTCACTGGCTTGGGAGATAGGCCTTGCTTCTAATCATGCCTTTCCTGTGTCCTTGTCAAAGTAACTTCCACTTCTCTGGCCTTCCTTCATTGCAAAACAGTATCAATAAAATTTACTTAGCAATTGTTACAGGCTACATTCCGTTCTTGACACAGTCCCACCAAGGCTATCCTGTTGCCATCTTGGGAGGTTAGGTGCAACAGTACTTAAGAAGCTTGCTCAAGGTCCCAGGACACATTAGGAGTAAGGCAGGATTTGAACCCAAGGTGTTGGATACAAGAGTCTGCTGTGAATTCATATCATGCTGGGAAATTGGAAGTCATAGCTCTGTTTCTGCCCTGGCAAACCACTTAATTATCATTCGGGGGGCTTCAGTCTCTCAATTTCCAAATCAAAGGTGATTGAGGAGAAAACTCTAAAACCTCAAATTGTTCTATACCCTCTAATCTATAAACTCCCTGCCTGTAATTGTAAATATGGGATGTACATGCACCCCTGGGGATATGGGCCAATAGTTTCTCCCCTGAAGGTTGCCCAAAGGCTTCTTGATTCAGAAAAAAATGATTAAGAATCCTTCCCTGACAGACAGAGAGGGCAAATCCACAAAATCCCCTTCTGTTGCTATGGAGCAGAAATCAGGCTCTAGGGTATATTTCAACCCTTGTCAGAGATTGGGCTCCCAGTGATGATTGGACAAGTTGCATGGACCAGCTATGAAGAACCTCTTGGTTGGGATGTCTGGGTGGCTCAGCGGTTGAGTATCTGCTCTTGGCTCAGAGCATGGTCCCGGGTCCCAGGATTGAGTCCCGCATCAGGCTCCCCGAGAGGAGCCTGCTTCTCTCTCTGCCTGTGTCTCTGCCTCTCTCTGTGTCTCTCATTAGCAAATGAATGAAATCTTAAAACAACAACAACAACAACAAAAACACCTCTTGGTAGCCCCAAACAGGGAGCTTGCACTCCATTCCCACAAGGTCTGGGGGTCTATGGCAGTAGTGGAGCTGACCATGGGGAGGAACCTTCTCTGCCACATGGGCAGAGGGAGATACAAGCAGGAGGACTCAGATTTACCCTGTTCTTCATCCTAAGAGCATGGGGGGAGAAAGTCCATAGCATTGATCAGATTCTCAAAGAGTCTGGAACTATTTAAAAAAAAAAAAAAGTGTTTATTTAAAGGAGTTTCCCCAGGGCAGCCTGGGTGGCTCAGTGGTTTAGTGCTGCCTTCAGCCCAGGGTGTGATCCTGGAGACCCAGGATCGAGTCCCGCTTTGGGCTCCCTGCATCGAGCCTGCTTCTCCCTCTGCCTGTGCCTCTGCCTCTCTCTCTCTCTCTCTCTCTCTCTCTCTCTGTCTCTCATGAATAAATAAAATCTTTAAAAAATAAAAATAAAAAATAAAAGTTTCCCATGTTATACAGAAATGTTGAAATATCTTTGACTCCCCAGCCAGAAGTTACTAAGCCCCACCCTAGATGCTACTGTTTGGGAAGATCCTTTTAGAGCAATTTTAAGTGTTTGGCAGAAGGACAGATAAGCCTCAGGGATTCTGTAAATGTTGGTTCCAGTTTCCTTTTTATAAAATATGTTTCTGTTTCAAAAATTGTAAATGGAAGACACCATGCATCATGCCCATTCAGCTTTTTAACACATTAGAGATTCCCAAAATGTTTAAGTGGACATGCGAAGCTAATGCACTTGTATGCGAACCTTGGGATGAAGCTTTTTTCTATTCTTGATAAGATCAAACACTTTTTCCATCTGCTCTGAATACATAGATGGCATCCCATCCCCTGTGAAATAAAAGCTAAAGGCCTCATCATAGCCTTCAGGGCCCCATGGGCGCTGCCCCTGCTTCTCTCTCTAACTTCATCTCAAGCTACTCTTGCCCTTGACCACCATGTTCTGGACACACCTCTGCCCCTCCAAAACCACAAGCTTGTTCCCACCTCAGGGTCGTTTACTTGCTGTTCCTTTTGCCTGGTCTACGTACTTCCCTGATCCTGATCTGTGCATGACTGGCTCTTTCTTGTCTTTTGGAACTTAGTTGAAATCTCACCTCATTAGAGACCCTTGCCCTGGCCACCCCAAATCCAAAAAAGCCACACTGTTACTATTTCTGAGCACATTTGAATTCCCTACCTAGCACTTAACACTAAAGAGTATTTTGGTTATTTTGTAGCTGGCTTTCCCCAAACCAGAATATAAATTTGCCCATGAGGGTGAAGACCTTGTCTTGGGTGGGCACCACTGTTCCCACCCCTAGAACAATGCCTACCACATAGTTAGGACTTGGGGGTTAACAAATAGTTGTTGACTGTCATTTTGTTTTGCTTTTAAGACTATTGAGAGAGAGCACAAGCTATGGGGAGAAGCAGACTCCCCACTGAGAAGGGAGCATGACATGGGGCTTGATCCCAGGACCCCAAGATCATTACCTGAGCAGAAGGCAGTTGCTTAAATGACTGAGGCAACCAGGTGCCCCAGAACGTGGTTTTTATTAAGAAGGCTAAAGCTAGGGGCACATGGGTGGCTCAGTCAGTTAAGCATCTGCCTTCGGCTCAGGTAATGATCTTGGGGTCCTGGGATCAAGCCCCGATGTCATGCTCCCTTCTCAGTAGGGAGTCTGCTTCTTCCTCTGCCCCCCCATACCTCTACTCATGCTGTCTCTCTCTGAAATAAATAAGTAAATAAATAAAATCAATCTCAAAAAAAAGCTACTGGGGTGAATTTTACTTCAGGTCCAAACCTGTCCACTCACAAAAAGTTTAACAAATAATAATAATAATAATCTCATAACACTTATTAGTGAACTCTCACATATCAGACACATTGCTAGGAACTATAACCACGACCTTGTTAAATGATCCTGCAGGTAGAAGTCTCTGTGAGGCTTATATTGCAGAAATAAACATAGGCCCAAGGAGGGAAGCCTCTTACCATATACCACGTGCCAGAACGCTGTGGCGGACAGATCCATTCCCACAGATGTCTCAGGCCATGGACTTTACATGTATAGGTCCAGATTTGAGAAAGTCTAATTTTATGCTGAAGTATATGGATTTGAAACAGTGAAATACTTAAAACATAATTTCCTACATTTCTAAGAAAAATTGAGGTAATATGAGTATCACCTAATTTTTTTTTAGGTTCTCACGAAGAGGAATCTTTTCACAGCTGCCCAGCAAGGTGGCTTACAAGCTATTCCCGCTGATGCCACAAGAGGGCGCCACATGAGCTGGCCATCCCTGCGGGAACTCCCACTGCTAGCAGGTGTCAAGCCTTCCCGGGAACAAGGGGGCGGGACCTTTGTGTTGTTACTTAAACATTCACTGTTTATAGGGAAACTGACCTGACACCTAAGTGCAACACGTGATCCTGAATTGGATTGGAGGGGCAGGGGTGGGGGGATGGCCATAATTAAGAACATTATTGGGACAATTTATGAACCTGAAGTATGAACTGGTTCTTTAGAGGAATATTGTATGTTAAATGTCTAGGGTTTTTTTTGTTGTTTTTTTTTAATTTTTTTGAATTTATTTATGATAGCTACAGAGAGAGAGAGAGAGGCAGAGACACAGGCAGAGGGAGAAGCAGGCTCCATGCACCGGGAGCCCGACGTGGGATTCGATCCCGGGTCTCCAGGATCGCGCCCTGGGCCAAAGGCAGGCGCCAAACCGCTGCGCCACCCAGGGATCCCAATGTCTAGGTTTTGATAGCTACACTGTGCTTATGGAAGAAAAATTTCCTGTTTTCAGGAAATACACACTAGTATGTAGTATGAGGTTAAGTAGTAGTATGAGGTTAAGAGGCATAATGTTTTCCAACTTTCAAATGGTTCAAAACACAACATGGGAATGTGTATGGGTGTGTGTGCGCTCATGGAGAGGGGGACAAGGAAGAGGGAACGATAAGACAAATTGAGCAATTAACAAACCTAGATAAATAATATACAGAAATCAGGGGTGCCTGAGTGGCTCAGCTGTTTGAACATCAGACTCTTGATTTCAGCTCAGGTTATGATCTCAGATGTGAGAAACCCCTTGCACCATTATTGCTACTTTTCTAGAAGTTTACAATTATATTCTTTTAGAGAGAGAGGGAGAGGAGCACAGAGTGGGGGTGGGGAGGGGCAGGAGAGAGAGAATGCCAAGCAGGCTTCACATCCATCACAGAGCCTGATGCAGGGCTTGATCCTACAACCCTGAGATCATGACCTGAGCTGAAACCAAGAGTAGGAAGCCTAACTGACTGAGTCCACCCAGGCACCCAAAGTTTACAGTTATATTAAAATAGTTACCCAAAAAGCTATTTTTGTAACCAATGAGAATGTCATGAAAGAGTTAAGTGTTGGTGCTGAAAATCCTCCCTGAAAATCATCAATTTCAGAGACCAAATTAGATGACAACACTGTGCCTGGCACTGTGAAGCCCTTAATCATCCTGTGAGGTAGATGCTATTACTCCCATCTTATTGTAAAGAAATGAGCACAGAGAGGCTGAGTGACCTGACCAAGATCACACAGCCATGGAGCTCATGCTCTTTAACCGTAACAGAGCACCAAGAAGGCCAAATGATGGCCATGAAATGCTATACTGGTCATTTAGAAGCACTGCACTAAAGGTGAAGAAGCAGAAAAGGCAGCTTTAGGGAAAAGCTATGAAACAATGAATGTAGGTTTCTGTGCTCTGAACCCCTGCTTCAACTTGATAGTCAAGTCTATGCCAAAGTCAGTCTTGGATTATGCAAGGTTTGACCAAAATAAAATTGGGACATCAAGTGACTGCTGATTCTGAGGTAACTGAACCTGCTAGCCATTAAGAAGGGAGGAAAAATTAGAATGTTCCTCAGACAAATCTGATTATTCTCAATATTTACTTGTCAATACACAAATGATGTAAATTCAAATTTGTAAATAATTGAACTCCTGTATATTTTGCCCTCTGGATATGTCCAATCATAAGCAAACTGTGGTGGACGCAAGAGGTGCTGTGATAAAAAAAAAAAAAAAAAAGACCTGGAAACCACCAAGTGTCCCTGGTGAGAGACTGGTTCAGTACATCAAGGTATATCCACACCAGGGGGATGCCAAGCAGCTACTTTAAAAGGAAGCTCTTTCCAGTAAGTACATTAAAAGGCATTTAACGTCACTGGCCACTGGGGAAATGCAAATCAAAGCCACAGTAACAAGATACCATTTCACACCCACTAGGATGGCCACAATCAAAAAGACAATGTGGTGGTGAGAATGTGGAGAAATTAGAACACTTGTACACTGCTGGTAGAAACGTAAAATGGCACAGCCGCCCTGGAAAACAGTCCAGCAGTTCTTCAAAGGGTGAACATAAAATTAATATATAGCCCAACAATTCAACTCACGGGTATATACCCAAGAATGAAAACATGTCCAGACAATTACTCACACATGGGTGTTCAGAGCAGTATTATTCATAATAGCCAAAAAGTGGGAACAATGTACATGTCCATCATCTTATAAACAAAAATGTAAAAAATCTACACATTGCTGCATTATTTGTCGTTTTTTGAAAATGATGGAAGATCTGTGGTATAACCTGAATGAACCTCAAAAATGTGCTGAGAGAAGCCAGACACAGAAGGCCCCGTACTGTGTGATTTCATTTATATGAAATGTCTAGAAAAGGCAAATCTATAGAGACTGATTAGTGGTTACCACTTGGAGTGGGGGAGGGCAGAATTTAGGAGGACTTGGGGGAATGATGGTTAAAGGGTATAGGGTTTCTCTCTGGGGTAATGAAAAAAGTCCTAAAAGTCTAATGATAGATGCACAACTCTGTGAATAACAAAAGTCATTGAATTGTGCACTTTAGATGAGTGAATGGATATGTGAATTATATCTCAATAAAGTGTGTGGTTTTCAAGAAGCTCATTATGTACTGATATGCAATGAACTCCAGGATATATTAAGCAAAAAAAGCAAAGCGCCAAACTGCCATATATGCTACCATCCGGGTGGGAAAACAGTTGTTTGTGAAGGAAATACTTCTGGAAGGACACCTGCACCCCAGTAACACCAACTGCCTCTGGACAGGGAAACTGGATGACCCAGAGTAGCAGGGAGAGTTGTTTTTAATTCTTAGGAGATACCAAAAAAGTATAAAGAATAAATACAATGAACACCTGTGTGCCCAGGTTTAAAAACCATTCCTATACTCTGGTTTTTTTTCTCAGTTTTCTTTTTTTTAAGATTTTGTTTTTAAGAAATCTCTACACCAGCATGGGGCTCAAACTCATGACCCCGAGATCAGAGTTGCACGTTCCACCACCTGACCCAGCTGGGCGCCCCACCATTCCTAGACTCTTGAACCTCTGTGCCCTCTCCAGTCGCATCCCATCCCATCCACCCCTAGAGGGAACCATCATCCCACATTAGGAGTTTATCATTCCTATGCATATCATACATTTACTATATTTTAAATAGTAAATTGATTAAATTCTTAAGTAAATAAGTAGTAAACAGTTTGCATATTTTAAAACTACACATATTCTTCTGCAATTTGCTTTTCACACTCAATGTTTTGCTTTATTCGTATTGATACGTGCAATGCTAGTTCACTTTCATTGATGTATAATATACCGCATCCAGTACATCATGTAGTACATCCAATATTGATGTATAATTTGCCCAGATGGACACAAAACAAGCTCTCATCCCCCATGCTCTTCTTCCGATGAGACACTGACATTCCTATCATTGAGAGGAAGAGTCTATGGCCTCGAATCTGAGCAGAAGTGAAGCAACGTGACTTCCAATGCTAGCTTAGAACAGGCAATACAGTTTTCCCTGATTCTCTTGAGCAGCGCACTGTTGGAACCCAGCCACGGTGCCGTAAGGAAGCCCAGGCCACGTGGCAAAGCCCTATGTAGGCATTCTGGCTGATAGCCCAAGTTGAGGTCTGAGCTAAGTGCCAGTATTGGTTAACCACCAAACAACTGGGGAAGCTTTCAAGAGGACACTAGCCCCAGCCAATATCTTACTGCAACCACATGAGAGTCCCCAAGTGACATCGTCTAATTGAGCCCAGTCAACCCCCCAGACCCATTAGAGGTAACGATTATTGATTTAAGCTGATAAGTTTTGGGTAGTTCATTGTGTATTAGATAATTGAAACAACTATGCCACACTGTGTCCATTCTCCAGTTGATAGATATTTGGGTTGCTTCCAAGTTAATGCTCTTACAAACAGTGATCCTATGAACTCTCTTATACCTTCCAATGTATGTGCGTTTGTTTCTCCAGGACGGTAATTGCTGGGTTAGGGAGTATAACATCTTCAATTATACTACAACCTACCAAATTATTTTCCAAAACGGTTGGTACCAACTGATACTCTTAAAGCAGTGTCAGTTGGTATCTTCCCCAACACTGGAGACATTGAGTGTGTTGCCAATCTACTAGGCCCAAAACAGTCTTATTGTGTATATCCTTTTGTACCTTTGGATTTTTTATCATTTGCATGAATTGATCCCAAATAAACAGTTAAATGTACACTAATAAATTATTGCTTTCCTATTTTAAACATGCTTTATACACTGGGGTTACATATTAAGATTGCATTTTTTTTAAAAAAAGGAATTGTCGCCCCAGTGGCAATGAGCACATCTCATGCCTAGATCTTGGTTTCGATTCTCAGTCACCATTCTAAATAAAATAAGCTGGGACTCCTTGGAGAAATGGCTGATTTAGGACCAGGGCAGGAAGTATATAAGATGAGCCTGGAGAATCTGTAGTGCCAGAAAGTATGGAATACTAAAAAACGCAAAAATACCCACCACACAATAAATAAGTCAAAGGACACAGGAGCCAACTCTAAGAGTCCCCAAATGTCAAAGCCAGAATAACAAAATAAATCAAGTAGTATTGGATTATATAACCCAAAGCATAAAATAAGTACCCATGAGTCCATACTGTTGAAAATAAAAGGATTGAATAAATTAATAGAGAAAAGAGACACACCTCCCTTACAGAAGAATTCCCAGATTTATTTATAATTCATGTCGGTACTTTGCCCCTAAGGAGGTGAAGCATAAGCCCCGTGCTCCTTAGGTGAGGGCTGCACAGAGTGACTTCCTTTCATAGTTCAGTACGGAAAGGGAGAGGAACTTGATGGTGGAGAAACCTGGCAAACAGTAGTGATCAGGGTTAACATAAATAGTGAGACATCATGTGTGCACTCTGTACCCTAGACACAATGTAATAAAATGGCACTTTACCTCTGAGCTCTTCCTCTGAAAAACACATAACTCTGGTATAACGATGAGAAAGGCAAATCTCAAGTGAGGAACAATCTCTAATAGACCGGCCCAATATTCTTCAAAACGGTCAAGGTCATCAAAAACTGCCACAACCAAGAGGGGCCTAAGGAGGCATTGACAACTCCCTATGTGTTAACACATACGTTGGAAAACACAAATGTGACGTGGTGGAACAGAAAGGGTCCTAAAACTAAGGAAGAAGCTAAGGAAATCTGAATAACTATGGGCTTTGCTTAATACTCATGAAATCAATATTGGTTCATTCATTGTAACAAATGAGTCACGCTACTGTAAGATGTTAATAATAGGGGAAATTCAATGTGGACTCTACAGGAGCTCTGTCCAAACTGTATGTCTCAATTCTTCTGTAGATCTACAACTCGTCTACCAGATGAGGTCTGTTCTAAAAAGTAAAGTCTTAAAAAAAGAAAAATGTAAAAAGGCGAGACTCCTGGTCAGCTTCCTGACATCAAACCCAGTCCCGCCACCTGCCAGCTGGGTCCGGCTATGCCTGTTTGATGAAGTCTGCAGAGGGCCCAGAGTTCACAAAGCAGGTAAAGTTCAGTACAGGTGAAGAACAGGCCTTCAAAGGCAGGTGCAACACTCATCAAACTAAGCTCAGATTCCCGAAGGAGGGAAAAGAGGGTTTGAGGTGGCCCCAGCCCAATGCCTGACCCATCTGGGGGGCACTGGGCTGTGACACTGGAGGAAGGCGCTGTGGGGCTGCCTGGTACAGGCATTACAAGTTCCCATCTTGCTTTTGCATCTGCTGGTGTGAGCTACCAGTGGCGGTGACCTCATCCCAAGACCACCATCCAAACAGAATCAGCCACCTGGGCTGGCTCAGATCTGGTTCTGTGATTTGGCAGGAGCCCTAGGTTCACTGCACCTCCCTTTCACATCTGCTCATGAGATGAGAATAGGAAGTCCCAGACCTTCACGCTGCCGCCCTTTCCCTGAGGACTTGGGAAGTCTGTCAACTGAGCAAAGCACTTACGTAGTTCTTCCTGGCACAAAGGTGTGGTCCATGTCAGCTTTCAGCATTCTCTGCCCCACTTCTTCTGGTGGTCTCCAACTATGAGTCCAATGGCTCTTAAGTCCGTTTTGGAAGGGGGCAGTAAGTGTATGAGTAAATCATCCAAAGAATGTCAACACTCTTGGGGGAGAGCCTGATTCAGATTTGCTATTGACCCAATTATGAGTATTTGCACTGAACTGGTATGAACTGATATTCTTCATATTGATCTCTGAGCTGACCCCACATGCTACGGGGCCATCTACTGCAGCACTGCCTGTAATAGCAAGAGACCAGAAACAGCCTGAATTCCCTTCTAGAAAGGACTGAATAAGTAAATATGCACGTGTGCTTGTACAAGTGTTACTACATGTTCCTCTGCCAATATGCATGTGTGGGTGTGTGTGTACACAAAGCACACACACATAAACACATTTCTGAGAGGATGACTCAAGAAACTGGAGATACTGGTGGCCTCTGAGGAGGGCACTGGAAGGCCAGTGGACTTGGGAAGAAGCTTTTCACCACAAAGCCTTTTGTATCTTTTGCAGTTTTGAACCATGTGAATGTATTATGCTCAAGAACATTTAATTCAACCAGAGGAAAAATAACACACTGCTATGGTGTGTTGGGGCTGGTTTGGGGGAATAGCCAAATCAAATGGCGGGGCCATGGTGGTTCTGGAGCAGCTGGGAGGCACACAATATCTGGTCCGGTCCATCTGGCAGACAGTGGCAGGATGGGGCAGGACTCTTAAGGCCTGCAGCACCCCAAAGCAATAAACACTTCCTACAGCAAGTTTTATGCTTTGGGGAGTAGGAGAAGACAGGTACACGAGAAGTCTAGAAAATCTAAAACCACTATCCTAGGACCCCATCCTCAGCTCTCTGAAATGTCTTTGTTTCAAACCTGCAATTGACCCTTCACAGGGTTAGGAGTTAGGGGGACAAGGCTCCTGGTCAGCTCCCTGACCTACCACTTGCCAGATGGGTGACACCTTCAGCAGTTTACTCCTCTCTGGGTGTCCGTAAAGAGCAACAGTGACACGATTTCCCTCACGCATGTTAGTCTTTCATGGGAAGTGAGCTATCCTCGTTTTCACATCATTACACACTCAAGAAATCACCCAGCGCTCTTAAATTTAGTTACCGGAACTCTTCCTATTAACCCTGGCAGTAGCTAAAATTACCCATGAAGTGGAACCAGAGGAAATAACTAGGGAAACTAGGGAAAGAAAATCAAGACTTTAAGAGCAGCAAGGAAAGTGTGGATCCATGTGAGCTCCTGCCTGCGGTGCCACCACCACGAAGGGGCAGCCTCCAGAATCACCGCTGCCCACATCTGCTGCCTTCTCGATGGCCGACCTCAAGTGGTACCCCGTGCGCCTCGCCTGGGCCCTACCATCGTCCCTCACCCCAAAGCCCAGCCTTTCCCACCCCAGGCCCCGTGCCTGGCACACCACCTGATGCACCCCCAGCATGACATGACTCAGAAACCACAAATGAACGGATCAAGGGCTCAAGAAGACGACACAGGTCTGGGGACAGATGGTGGTAGTGATTAGGCAACAATGGGAATGTACTGAATGCCACTGAACAGGATCCTTACCGATGGCTAAAATGGTATGTATGCTTCACCACAATTAAAAAAAAAAAAAAAAAAAAAAAAAAAAGGATGAAAAAGGATGAAGTCTAATCTTATCCTCACCTGCTTTTAGGCCTCCCAAGCCCCAGGCCACTCCCTGCTAATCATATCAACTCTGTTCTCTACACGGGGAAAGGGCCCCCAATTCCCTTCTGGGCCCTCTCCTGTTTCTCTGCTCCTTTCCAGCTCGTATCACCAGGCCTTCGGCTTTGAACACAGAGCCCCCCGAGTGCTCCCTGAAGCTGCTGGACTCCACCGCAGGTACCCCCCACTCCAAATCCCGGCAGCCCAGCACCTGCCTGCCCCTGGCTCCTCCCTCCATAAACAGCACCTCTAGCCAGATGCCCCAGTCTCCCCTCTAGGTGATCTCTGCCCCTTGCCACTGCACCCCAACTGCCCGCTGCTCCTCTGAAGCCCCTCCTTCCCCACACTTCACCCCATGCCACCTTCCTTTCCTGCCTCTGCTCCTGCATGGCTGCCTCCCTGCCTCCACCCCTGCCCTCCCGACAATCCATCCCCTCCAAGGACCAAAGCCATCTTCACAAACGGCAACTCAGACCCTCACCTGCCAGCTTTAAACCCTCTCAAACTTCTCAGGGCTTAGAGAAGATGTCTGAATTCCTCGTCGTGGGTCTCAAAGCCCCAGGTCATCTGGTGCCCAGCCACGTGCCCCAGCCCATGCTGTGTGGCAGGCCCCTTGCTCCCTGGCCAGCCACCCTGGCTTTCGTGTTCCTTTGTCCTGGCTGTGTGCTCTGCCTGACCCTTTCCTCCTGCACCTCACATAGCCGCTTCTGATCCTTCCCATCGTTCCCAGCTCAGCCCTTACCTCACCTCCTCCGAAAGGCCTTCTTACCCCAACATCTGAAGAAGCTCTGGGCCCCTTGTGCTCCTCCCTCCCGTTCTTCCCACAACACGACCCTTTAACCACCATCTCCCTGGCCAGAGGTCAGTCATGCAGGCAGGGACTTGTCTACCTTGCTCCCAATGGATCCCCAGCTCTTTGAACAAGCCTGGAACAGAGCAGGGACTGTGCAGCAGTAAACAGGTGTATGGTCTAACCAACAGGAACCCACCACCTCACAAGGGAGCCTGCCGTTTGGAAAGCCACCAATAGGCAGAGTGGCAGAAACAGGTGAGGCATACAGAGGGGGAGGACACAGTGACAGAACCACTACAGCTGAGGGAGAGAAGAGGAAGTCCAACTGCACAGTGACCATGACCGTCATTGCCTTCCTTGGGGCCTGCACCAAAGATGTGGCTCCATGGAGTCCTGACCTCCAGAAACAGAGCCCAACCCTTCGTTGGCACCCCCACCTACTTTGTGCTTTGTATGAAAAACCACCCTGTGACTCACCCTAAAGGAGGGGAGGGAAACAGTTTGAAAGTCACAAAAATATATTAAAACAGCTGTTTTCTTCTCTCTCTCTCTCTCTTTCTCAGCACCGGCCTCCCTTCCCAGGGACCCCTGCCCACCACCAGCTGTGAGCTTTCAGAGAGAAAGATGCCCAGGGCAGGAAAGCAGAGGTGCCCTGCTGCAGCCCAGGGTCTGGGGAGGTCCCTCCAGCCTGGGGGTGAGGGCAGCTAACAGTCTCTACAGGCTCGACGCCACCGCCGACGAGGGGGCCGCTGGGAGGCCGGAGGTGCAGGAGGGTCAGGCAGGACGCAGCGGACAGTCGGGCCTTGCCACAGGGACAGAAAAACAGAAGAGAAATAAACAGTATGAAGAGAGGGAGAGACATAGAAGTTAAAGTGGGGGGCAGGCAGAGGGGCAAGGGGAAGTCAGGAAGTGGGCAAGGTGGGGGGATTCTGGGGGACTGGGAGGCCAGGCAGCTGGGGTAGAGGCAGCAGACGCCACTGAGGGGCAGGAAGGGGAAGAGAGGAGGGAAACGAGCACATGGCTCTGGGAGAGGTAGAAAAGTGGGTCCTGCCAAGGCCATAGTCAGAGAGGAGAGAACAGAGGACATGAGAAAGGAAAATCCCAGAGCAGCAAGGCCAAGCCACAACGACCATCTCAGACTGGGAAAACTGAGGTGAATCCCCAGAAAGCTTGGGCTGGCTTGAGTGCCTGAGGGAGACAAGCAGTGTCATCTGGCTGGGCGCAGCCTCACGGGAGCCTCTGCTGGAGCCAGGGTCCTGGAGAGGGGCCTGCGCCCCACCCAGACGCTAGAAGGTCCTGCGGCCCAGTCTTTTGAACACGCTCACTGTGCCCGCATGGTCCATCTGGGCGCCCAGGCCCTCGCTGGAGCTGCTCCCCCGGGGCCCCACCAGAGTCCGCCTAATGGTGACCTTGACCTCGGCCAAGGACTTACTCTTGGTGCTCGTGACCTGGCTGTCCTGGGCCTCGGGCACAAGGGCAGCTTTGCCCAGTCTCTGGATGATGCTGACTTTGGACAGGGACTCCGGCTTCCTCTCGAGCCCAGGGCGTGAAGAAAGGGCTAGGCGCCGCAGTGTCGGGGTGGCAGCCGTTGTGGCTGAGCTCGTGGCCTTGGCTTTGACAGTCAGTGCTGGCTGGGGACTGGGCTTGGCTGGGCCCCGGCCCAGCTTCTTCAGAACGCCGGCATACTGCAGGACAGAGCTGCTGCTGTCATTGTCGCTGTCCCAAGCCAGATCCTCATCCATCTCTGGGGTGGCCCCCAAGCGGCTAAAGACTCCTGTGGGCTGCAGGGATCAGAAACGCGACATGTGAGTCATTTAGTCATTCGAACGCATGCATGCAGAGCTGCCTCATCCATGCCCGGCCTTGCTGGGAGACACACCCATCGGTGACATGGTGACACCCTAGACAGTGGGGAAAGCCGTGACAGGGGATGTCCAGATTGCTGGCAGAGCCCAAAAGAGACTCCTGACCTTGGCTGAGATTCAGGAGAGACACCCTGGACAAGGGACATCTGAGATAAGATCTGAAAGTTTGGCTAGCAGGTCTAGTAAAGATGGGAGGAGAGAGGGCGCCACACACACACACACACACACACACAGAAGACCATTTGCAAAGGTCTGCAGGGGGCCACGACAAAAGACAAAAAAGACAAATCTGGTCCTTTGCTCAACAGAGCTTTCCTGAGTCCCAACTGCCCCAGGGCACTGTGCAGGCTGGTGCCGGGGACACAGCGGCAACTAAGAAAGCCGTGGCCTGCCCTCAGGGCGCTCACAGTCCAGTGGGGGAGACAGACCAATATCAGAAACGACACAAACAACTCCCTAATTATGACAGTCCTGTGTTCTCTGGCAGAGATGGGAGTGCTGGCAAGCAGCAGTCAAGGAAGCCACACCTCCTCTGGGAGTACAGGGATGCCTATTCCGAGGTGCTGAGTTTAAGGCAGGCCCTCGAGGATGAATGGCAGAGAAAAGGGCAAGGGCCAAGTCCTCGAGGCAGGAATAAGAATCACATGCATGGAGCATTAGCTCTGTACTAAGCTCTTTACGTGGCAGTATCATCAAGCCACATGATCCCAAGTGTTATTATCATGCTAAGATTCTAGGAAGAAAAAAGTTGGGTGAGCCCTGGGAGCAAGGGATAGAGAGGCAGGAAATGCAGCTGGGGAGCTCTGGTGCAGCTGATCAAAGGCAACATTTAAAGCGTGCCTACCATGCACTGGATGACGTCCCCAGCACTGCAGGTATATCCCACTTAATCCTCATGACCACCGCAGGAGGTGGGAACTAGACAAATAAGGAAACTGAGGTACAAGGAGCTTAAGTGACTCGGCCAAGGCCATGCAGCCAGGAAGTGGCAGAGCTAGCTGGATTCACGCTGGGCAGGCAGGACTTGGGCTGCAAGCCAAGGCAAGGAGGGTGGTGTTCACCCTGGCCGCGGTGAAAATCGTCTGATTGGGGGTTGGGGGGGTGGCCTGTCCTATGGGAGGGGGTTCACAGGAGCTGCAGATACCGGTTAGGAGACGGGGAGAGATGACAGACAGGGAAACCAGATGGAGCCATCATCAGAGCCTGCCTGGAATGAGGGCACTGGGGCATCCCTGAGACAGGGCTCAGGAGAGGAGTCCCTTTAGGGGAAGATGCTGAGGCCAGTCTGGGACATGGAGGTGGGAGAGGCCCGAGGGCGGCATGCGGGAGTTGGCCAGACCCCAGGGGCTGGAAATCGAGAGAGAGGTTGCCGAGGTGCAAAGAAGGGAACTGAGGCAGTTAATGCCGATGGGGCACAGGGAGTATGAGGGGTCAGAGGCAGGATCCACACCCTCAGGAAGACAGAGTAGAGAACCTCAGGTGGGTCCCCCATTTCCAACTCACTTTATTCCCTGTTGTTGTGTCTGCCTTGGTCTCAGCGCCGAGCCGGTCAAACACGGATGTCCTCTGGAGACCTGGGAGGGAAGTGAGCCCTCAGCCAGCACCTGCTGAGCAGTGCGTGGAGCCCAGGCCTGGCCGAGCACCATGCATTGTGCAGACAAGGGAGGGGAGACATGGCTAGCCCAGGCCCGGGCGGCTCTGGTCCAGGCAGGCACAGACTCTGTGTCTACACCTTGGCTAACACAGACCTGACCCACACATCTCTGGCTAGTACTAAACGTGGGAAGGAGCTACTAAAATTGACCCTTGGGCTCCTCGAGACTGTACAAGTTTGCAAAATGTGTGTGCGGAAAAGGCCCTTAATCCCTACTTGTTCCCTTCACTCTTTTTTGGATCATGGGCCTGAGAGTCTGTGGACTGGTGATAAGTCCTCTCCCTAAATCCCAACCCAAATAGCCATTGATAGAATGTTTACTAAACCATGATATGTAAATACAATGCAAATATTAAATGACCATTAAAAAATATGAAAAGAAAATATATGAATATGAAATATGAAAACATAGGGCACCTGGGTGACCCAGTTGCTTAAGGGTCTGCCTTTGGCTCAGGTCATGATCTCAGGGTCCTGAGATGGAGCCCTGAGTCGGGCTCCCTGCTCAGCCAGAGCCAGCTTCTCCCTCTCCCTCTGCCCCTCCTCACTGCTCCTGCAAAGGCACGCTAGTTCTCCCTCTCAAATAAATAAATAAAATCTTAAATAATAAAAAATGTGAAAGCAGATCCACATGTATTCAGGTGAAAAGATCTCAATAAAAAGTTCTAGAAAGAGGTGCCTGAATGGCTCAGTCAGTTAAGTGTCTGCCTTCAGCTCGGGTCATGACCTCAGGGTCCTGGGATCAAGCCCTGATACCAGGCTCCTTGCTTAGCAGAGAGTCTGCTTCTCCCTCTCCATCTTCCCTCTTCCACCTGTCCTCCCCAGCCCCTGCTCTGCTCTCTCTCTCTCTCCCCCCACCAAAAAAAAAAAAAAAAAAAATCCAAAAATAAAGTTATAGAACAATACCTACAGGATGATGCTTTGTGATGATTTGTGATTTTTAAAAAACACCTGTATGGGTCTATATACAAATACATGCATACAAGTTCACAGATGCTGGTCTGGAAAGGTTAACAATGGTGTGGGATATGGGATTGAGGGGACAGTCAGTTGGTACTAAATATTTTTCTGCACCATATGAATGTTCTTCCAAGAAGACACATAGAATATTCTCAAAGGAACACTGCAAGGAAGGAAGACCATTTCTGTACTACCAGATAAAAACCCCAGCTATAGACTGAATCTCTGGCTCATAATGATGGTTCCCACATTTTGGGGACCTGCCCTCAGCCAGGCACAGCCACCACTTTACAAGCAGGCAATCATGGAGTCCAAGCCCCTGCCCTTGGGGAAAGGGTGCCAGCTGAGGCATTTAGGAACCCTGCTCCACTAACTGTAGGACAACAGGGTGGTCGGTATGTGTCCTCCTCCTCTATGGCCACCAACACTGTCCACTTGGTCAAGGCCCCCTGGATTTCACTAGAGCCTGATTCAGGGCCAGTGCCTGTAGGGTGTGACCAACCCCATACAATGCAACAAAAGGGAAATGCAGTCTCTATGCCAACATGGCCGATACCTTTCGCTGCTTGCTGCTGCTCCAGGATCTTCCGGGTCCGGGGGGTGGTACCTTTAGGCATGTTGATGATGTACTTCCCCTCCATCTCAGCAGTGACCCGGCGCCGCTTGGTGGGAACAGCCAGGCTCTCCTCCTCCCGGCGGGCCAGGGCTGCTATGGAGGAGTGGATAGTGAGCATCTTCTGGGATGGAATATTCTCCTGGGTTGGGGGCTGAACACCCTGCAAAGGGCACAGATGTGCCCTTTATCTCCGTACGTTCAAATGACTGGAATCCCTTATCTTCCCAACCACTGCTGACTCTGAACCACAGAGACATTCAGAGGTTGGGCACAACAGGGCTGTTGATGGAGCTCAGAATCCCCATGGGGTGCCAGGCATCCCTAGGCTCTCTGTGGCTCTGTCCCTGCCCCAAGCAGGCTGACCTCCCAGCCCAGCTGGAATCCCCTCAGAAGGAGAAACTGCTGGGTGATGGAAAAGCTCAAGAGCTCCAGCCAGTAGTGGTTTCACGGGTATAATCATTTTTAAAGTAATCAAACTGGGGGCGCCTGGGTGGCTCAGTCAGTTAGGCAGCCATCTATCTGCCTTTGGCTCCAGTCATGATCCTGGAGTCCCATGATTGAGCCCCTGCATCAGGCTCCCTGCTCAGTGAGGAGTCTGCTTCTCCCTCTGACCCTCTCCCCTCTCATGCTCTCTCTCACTCTATCTCTCAAATAAATAAAATCCTTTTTAAAAATTTTTAAAAATACATTAATCAAGCTGTATACTTACAATTTGTGCATTGTACATTAGTAAATTATACCTCAATTAGATTTGCTTTTTTTTAAGATTTTATATGACAGAGAGAGAGAGAAAGAGACAGAGAGAGCACAAGCAGGCAGAGCGGCAGGCAGAGGGAGAGGGAGAAGCAGGCTCCCCACTGAGTAGAGAGCCAGACATGGGGCTCAATCCCAAGACTCTGGGATCATGACTTGAACCAGAGGCAGACGCTTAACTGACTGAGCCACCCAGGTGCCCTACCTCAATTAGATTAAAAAAAAAAAAGAAGAAGAAGAATCCCTTCAACACATTTGAGCTGGTCACTCCCAGGCCCAACGTCTTTTCAATTCTTTAGAAATTAATTTTAATTTTCTTGCTCATGACACACAAATCAAAAAGTCCAGTGATGGAGATGAGGCACTTCTAAACACACACAGAGGGATCCCTGGGTGGCGCAGCGGTTTGGCGCCTGCCTTTGGCCCGGGGCGCGATCCTGGAGACCCGGGATCGAATCCCACGTCAGGCTCCCAGTGCATGGAGCCTGCTTCTCCCTCTGCCTGTGTCTCTGCCTCTCTCTCTCTCTCTCTCTGTGTAACTATCATAAATAAATAAAAAAAAAAAATTAAAAAAAAAATAAATAAAATAAACACACACAGAAAAAGGAGCACATGCGGTAGAGCTGGACAAGGAGGGAGTGATGGGGCTGGGCATCAGAACAACCAAGTCCGCTCCCTGGCCTCAGTTTCCACTTGTGTCAAGATCTTTGCTGTGGGGGTGGGTCCAACAAAGTCACGACAGTGGAGCAGACAGAAGGAGGGCTTAGAAGCTTGAAGGCTGAAGTCCTATTCCCAGCTTTCAAGCTGAGACCTGGAAGAGGAACAGAGGCCAAGCGTAGAAAAGTCTGTGAAGGAAGAGTGTGCTGGGGGAAGGGAACATGAGGGCAAAGGCCCACAACGGGAAGGAGCCTGAAAGGGACCCGACAGAGGGAGCCAGCAGAAGAGACACAGGAGATGGATTCACAACATGCAAAGCCTATAAGGCCTTGTGGAAAGAGGACTTCATCACTGGGACAATGGGAAGCCCTGGAGAGTTCTAGCCCAAAGTGAGAGGATCCTCCTGGTTGCTGAGAGGAAGTGGTAGCTTCTTGACCTCTGACCCGTGCATCAAGCACAAGGCCTGGCACCAGTGCAGGCCTTGGTGAACATTTGTGAAAAGAGACTGAGCCACCTGTAGTCCACAGCACCATACTGTACACTTGAGACTTTATGAAAAGGGTAATGTGGGGACACCTGGGTGGCTCAGCGGTTGAGCATCTGTCTTTGGCTCAGGGCGTGATCCTGGGGTCCCAGGATCGGTCCCACATAGGGCTTCCTGCATGGAGCCTGCTTCTCCCCCTGCCTATGTCTCTGCCTCTCTCTCTGTCTCTCTCATGAATAAATATAATCTAAAAAAAGGAAAGGAAAGAAAAAGGAAAGAAAAAGGAAAGGAAAAGGAAAAGGAAAGGAAGGGAAGGGAAGGGAAGGGAAGGGAAGGGAAGGGAAGGGAAGGGAAGGGAAGGGAAGGGAAGGAAAGGAAAGGAAAGGAAAGGAAAGGAAAGGAAAGGAAAGGAAAGGAAAGGAAAGGAAAGGAAAGGAAAGGGTAATGTCACATTAGGTGTTCCTCCCACATGGGGCACCTGGGTGGCTCAGTTGGTTGGGTGTCTGCCTTCAGCTCAAGTCATGATCCCAGGAATTGAACCTGGGGATTTGAACCCCATATTGCTGAGCAGGGAGCCTGCTTCTCCCTCTATCTCTGTCCCTCCCCCTGCTTGTATACTCTATCAAACGGGTGAATAAAATCTTAAAAAAAAAAAAAAAAAAAAGTGTTCCTTCCACAATGAAAAAATAAACAAGAAACCTAAAAAGACTGAACCAACCACTGAGAGCCTCACTGCATCCGCACTCTGCCCATTCTACAGACTGGGAAAGCAAGGCCTACGGAGATGCAGGGGCTTGGCCAAGTCCAGATGCTCTGGACACCCTGTGGTCTTCAAAGTACCTCGCAACGGGAACCTGACCTCCAAATACCATCTGCTGACCCACACCCACTCCAGCCCCTCCCACCATCTGCCCAAGTCCCCTCACCAGCAGCCTTGGCACTCTTCGCTGCCATCTTGTTGGACACGGTGACCGAGATCTTGGAGGTGCTGGTGTCTGGTCGCCTGGGGGGAGTGCCAGGTGGGGAATCACGGTTTAGGCTGTTGGCGATCATTCGAGAGGCAGCTGTGGGGAGAAAAGGGGGGAGTCCAGTTGTGCCAGGGCCCTGGGATGGAGGCCAGGACAAAGAAGGCAAGCCTTGGGACTGAATGGGGAAAGGACAGCTGGAGTCACTCTGTGACTGTACTGACATGATGGGGATACTTGGGGGTGGGCCAGTCTAACAAGGAGCTAGCCCACCTCTTGCTGCTTGGGGGCCTTTCCTGAGGTCCTAGACCAAAGACTGGTTCCTATCACACCTCACCCAGCAAGCATGCACCTCTTCATAGCACATGCTGTTCCCTCTACCTGGCATACAGTTCCCCAAGTACGAACCGCTTTGCTCTAGCTCTTTACTAGGTCTCCTCTCAGATGGCACCTCCTCAGAGAAAGCTTCCCAGATCATTCCGCCAACATCTACCAAACCAACCCTATGCTTGGCTTGCTTTTGCCTCATAACCCTAATTACTGCTTGACATTAAATTACACGGATTTGTCTACTGGTGAACTCTCCCACGAAGAGACAATGCCTGTTTATTTCTGTATCCCCAGTTCCTGCAACAGTTTCTGGTGCTTCACAGGTCCTCAAAAAACATCTACTGGAAAAGAACACTATCACAGAAAATCCCAACATCCCTACCAGAATGGGATCTACTGCAAACAATTTTATACATGAGGAAATGGGGACTCTGGGATGGGGGTCCCTCAGACAGGCCCTCAGACACAGTGAATCTATTCTCAGTTGGGCTACAGGAAGACAAACAGTGACATCCATCTGGGGATGAGGGATGGGAGTGGGGGTAGTCTCTGGCAGCCCCTGTGTTCTGCAGAGTAAGGAGAGATCCCAGGGTACCAGGTGGGAGCTACAGCACACAGACTAGAGGGCCAACCCCAGAGTGGGAAGGACACGGGTCTTGTCTCTAGTGCAGTAGAACTGGTTTAGGGCCCAAGTTTCAAAAGCTTGTTGGAAAGAGTTTCAGGCTGCCCCTGCTTATTCCCCAGTCCTAGTGTTCCCCACCCCTACCACCAATGGCTTTCAAATTTTGGTATTCCATCCTACCTACTCCCAAAAGTCTTCCCTTTTTCTGCTATGTGCTCTTTCTCAAAACCTGTCTAAGTCCCCCATAATAACCCTCAATGCATTGTTATAATTATATATTGCTTGGTTGGTTTTTTAAATTATAACTATAATATACAGAAAAACACATCAAACCCGCACAGACCACTTAACAAAAAGTGAACTCCCTCATACCCACTACCCAGGTTAAGAACTGGAACCTTCCTGGCACTCAGAAGTCCAGGGATTGACTCTTCCCTCACTCCACCAAGAAAAACAGGTCAGTTTTCAGCCCTGTTTACTCCCCTGGTAATGACCGTTATATACCCTTCTACAATTTTCCCAAGACTTTTCTATAGACAGCTCTGAAGCCAGATGGGGTGGTCTTCTGGCAAGCTGTCCTGGGATGATTGAGACGCTCTGCTATAAAAGGTAAGTGGTTGAGAGGCCCTGCCTCTTGCAGAGTATCCTGAAGGAAATGTCTTACTTGAAAAGGATAAGGGATGTGATGTTTCATTACGACAGGCAAACACTATTTGGATGGAAGAAAAACAACTGTCTTTGCCCCAATGAATCTAAGCTGCAGTCAGATGTCAGACACACGCACACATATAGACATGCATGCTCAAAAGTGTATATTATAAAGTGAATACAGGTGAATATACCAAGAATGCTGTTCTAGAACATTCTTCCCCACTGCCTTTCCCTCTTTGCTTGTTTCCCCTATTCCTCCTAATTGCCTATTTTCTCCACTAGTATTTTTTAGTTTACTTTTTTTTAATTTGTTTTAAATGGGACAGCCCGGCGGTTTAGCGCCACCTTCAGCCCAGGGCATGATCCTGGAGATCCAGGATCGAATCCCACATCAGGCTCCCTGCGTGGAGCCTGCTTCTCCCTCTGCCTGTGTCTGTGCTTCTCTCTCTCTCTCTATCATAAATAAATAAAATCTTAAAAAAAAAAATACATACTACCTGACTTCACTTATGTACACTTGACAGACTAGCAAAAAGACTAACAAAAATAGATCAACCCTGCTGTTACAGATCAGAGTAATGGGTGCCCTGGAGAAGGGGTAATGACACTGGTCAGGTTTCTGTTCCTGGATTTGGATGTTGCTGACCACATGGCTACTGCACCTGTGGAAAGTGATTCGGCTGTACCTTCATGATCAGAATGCTTTCCCGTGCATAAGTTCAAGCAGACTGTTGCAGAAAAGAACTCGAATTTATTCAGCCTCCCTTTGTCCATGTCTTGGGTGGGCACTGCCCACACCGACACTGGGCCTAGCCATGTGACTGGCTTTGGCCAGTGGGGTAAGAGCAAGTGTTATACAAGCTTTGCACACTGGGGCCTGCCCTCTCGTGCTGCTCTGGGGAACCCCGCAATCAGCATTATATGGACAAGCCCAGGCTCACCTGCTGGAAAACGGGCAACATGTGGCCCAGTTACAGATGACAGCAAGCCAACCATCAGATGTGAGACTATGCTAGATCACCCAACATCAACTAAGCTGCTAGGTAACCACTGTGGTCAGCTGAGCTGGCCTAGAGCAGAACTGACCAGCCATGTCATAAAATCATAAGAAATAAGTCTGTGCTTTAAACCAGTTTTTGGGCTTGTTAAGCAGCAAAGGTTAATATGCACATTAATTTTTTTAAGTTTATTTTTCTTAAAAAAGGTATCACACTGCTGAAAAAAACTAAATGTATAAATACAGTCTATTCACATCATTCATGGATTCCCTATTTGCAAATTCACCTATTCACTAAAATTGATTTGTAGGGGATCCCTGGGTGGCTCAGCAGTTTCGCGCCTGCCTTTGGCCTGGAGCGCAATCCTGGAGTCCCGGGGTCGAGTCCCACGTCGGCTCCCTGCATGGAGCCTGCTTCTCCCTCTGCCTGTGTCTCTGCCTCTCTCTCTCTATGTATATCAGAAATAAATAAAAAATAAACCTTTAAAAAAATTTTTAAATAAATAAATAAAATTGATTTGTAACCCCAAACCAATACCTGTGCTGCTTTTGTGGTCATTCACAGCCATACACCGAACAGTGAAAAACCTATCACCCAACGCATTCCCTCACTGAAGTCAAACAAGGTGACGCTCTGCTTTCTTGTTTCACTTCACACACGGTAAGCAAGTTACCTTCTGGCAGTCTATTTCATGCCATGTTTTTACATTTTTGTGCTTTTTGCTAGTGATTTTGCTGTTTAAAATGGCCCCCAAGCATAGTGACAAAGTGTTTTCTGGTATTCTCAAATGATGTGCCTGATGAAGAAAATATATGTGTTAGATTCGCTTCATCCAGGCATGAGTGATAGTGCTTGCTGGTCGTGAGCTCAGTGTTAACCCATCCACAATATATAGCAAATAAAATGTCTAAGCAGAAACATATAAGGACTGCATTGATCAGTTGACAAAAACATTGTAATCAGAGGCCCGCAGGAACCTAACCTTGTATTTCCTCTTGAAGCAGTGACTCAGTATTTGCTAATTCAGTGTGTGAAGTGACTTTACAGAACAGAACTGCCACCAATGAAAATCGACTGCACATACAGCCACCCACTACCCAGGCTATTTTTCCCTGAGAGAACCTCAGATGGCTTGGTTTCACCTCTGCAGACTCCAGAAATGTCCCCTTCACAGCTAAACTATGTGAATAAAGGTAAGGAATCCGGGGTAGGTGGGACTCACCACTAGATGCACCTCGGCGAATCTCGCCTGGGAGGGGGCTGGGGCTGCAGGGCACTGACTCAGTGGCAGCTTTGCACATGTCCTATTAAAAAGAAAAAAAAACAAACAAACCCAAACAGGTGTCTGGATTACCACAGGGACATGGGCACGAGGCAGAGGAATAGAAATCTGAGTAACACTGAGGGGATCAGAGCCTGAGCTACTAGAGAAGAGATTTCAGAACATTTAACTCCTAACTATGAGTAAGCATCAAACACAAACTGGGAGACATTCTACAACACACCTGACCAGTACGCTTCAAAACTGTCAAGGTCATCAAGCATGTGAGAGGACTATGGAACTGTCACAAATTAACAGAGAGCAAGGAAGTCTAAGGAGACATAAATAAATGCACTGTGGTATCATGGAACAGAGAGATGACATCAGAGGAAACACTGATAAAATCCAGGTGGTCTATAGTTTAGGTAGTGGTACTGTGCTAACGTTCATTTATTAGTTTTGACAAACGTATCATGGCTACGTATGATGCTAACATTAGGGGAAACTAGGTGAAGGAGATACAGAAACTTTCTGTACTGTTGGTGGAACTTTCCTGTAAACCTAAAATTGTTCCCAAATTTAAAAGTTTAAAGGGAAAAAAAAGCTTTGCTCAGTGACCTTATTTGTGATAACTCAGGGAATGCCCCTGGCTTGGGAGAGCCCTCACTGTGGGGTCCTGGCTGGATGACAGATATGAAGGCCGGTCCCAGGGTGGGGGAAGCAGCCAGCATTTAGTAACATGAAAAGTCTGACAGCACAGCTCTGAGGCAAGCTTCCTTCTCAGTCAAGTGGAGTGAGCAATAAATGAGTTTAAAATGTATAAAGGGGGATGCGTGAATGGCTCAGCGGTTGAGTGTCTGCCTTCAGCTCAGGGCATGATCCCAGAGTCCGGGATCGAGTCCCACATCAGGCTCTTTGCAGGGAGTCTGCTTCTCCAACTCTTCCTGTGTCTCTGCCTCTCTGTGTCTCTCATAAATAAATAAATAAAATCTTTAAAAAAATGTATAAAGAATGGAGACAGAGCCTGGTAGGCTATGGTAAGCACCTGGTAAGTGGCAGCTATCAAAATTCAATGAGTTCTTCATCCCAGGTCTGGTGCTCGGTGCTGCATACACTATCTGGTAGGTGACCATAGCTATCCTACACAGCGATGGAATGTGAAAAGCCTGTTTCAGAGAGATTCGGGGAGGTCAAGATCACTAGTCTAAGGTCACCATAAGTGGAGGGGCCAAGAATGAAATGACCATGTTGTTGGCCAAGTGACCAACAGAGTCCCACAGGGTGAGCTCATGTTCTGGGGACAGAGAAGAGTCCTGCTAATGACAATCATCAGGAGGAAGATGAGAACTAGTAATGACAATAGAGAGCCTTTACTGAGGTCCCACTATTTACACTGTACTGGAGCTTTATTTAACTTAATACAACCACCTCACAAGATAGGTCTATCTATCTGCATCCTGAGCCTATTCTAAGGCTCAGAGAGGTTGTGCAACATGCCCAATGTCACACAGCAAATGGTACAACCAGCCTTGGAACTCAGGTCTGCCCACCTTTGCTTCTAAGCCTCCTGCTGGCTCTGCTACTGCCCCTCCACTGCACCCGAAACCCAGGGACCAAGGGGTTGGGCAGAGCACCCACCTGGCGGTGCACCACCTTGGCATGTTTGAGGATGGCAATGATGTCCCCCACCACAGTCACACCCAGCTCATTCATGATCTCTTTGTTGAGATCCAGCAGCATGCTCTTCTGGATCCTGCAGGGGAGGGTCAGCTGTGAGACCACAAGTGGGCCATGATAGACGGGCCAGCCAGCTCTCTTCTCCCCTCACCTCTCCCAACTCTCCCCTCCTCTCTCCAAGGCCAGCTCTGTCCCCTCGGCCCCCTTACCTATTATCCACGAACATCACGGCATAATTGACAGCAGGTCCCGGAGGAATGCCGGCTTCCTTAAAGAACTGGATCCACTCGGAAGTGGCTGGGGGGTAGACAAGGCTCATTATTCCCATTATTCTCTCCAGAGAAGAGCAGCCACAAAACCATTAACAGCAATGGCTCCCACAAGTTAAATGCTCTTGGCATGCCAGGCCCCAGCTGAGCGCTCTACACTTACAGTGGACCCAAGCCCACCCACAACCCTGTGAGGAGTGAGGCAGCACTATGACTCCCTCACTCTGCCAATGAGACTGAGGCAGGGGGAGGTTGGGCAATTGGCCTCAGGCCACACTGCTAACACGAAGCAGAGTTCCCAAGCTCATGTGCTTCTGTACAGCCCTTCTTACAGCTCTGCCATGCCCTGGGCCATGAGCCACTATGATCATCCCCACACTTGGCCAATGCCCAATTTCAGGGAGCCAGGATTCTGGGTTCTCCACCCTGGTCCTGATCAGCAGGCCCAGCTCCCGAGGGTGACAGGATCTGCAGGTGAACGGAAAGAAGGGACACAGAGCCAGCCTGTGAGCATCAACAAGCCCTCTCCTCACCACAGCAGCAGCAAACCCCAAAGGCTTTGGCGCTTGGGTTCAAATTCTGACTCTGCCACTTCCTGGCTAAGGGATTATGGGAAGTTAACTCTTGGTGTCTCAGTCTCCTCATCTGTAAACTTAGGATAATACACTCGGCAAGTATTTACCGAGTATTTGGCACAGGCTAAGTCTCTTGCTAGGCAAAAGGGATAGCAGACACAAGACAATGTCCCTTCCCTCATTGAGCTCACATTCTAGTAATAATGCCCATATCCCTGGATCACTGTGCAGATTCAGTAAGAGATAAAGGACTTTGAGTGACACCTGGCCCTGGCGACAACCTCCACTCCACTCATAGAAGCGGCTGCTATTCTTATTATTATTCTGCCTCCACTACCAAAGCCAAGGCCAAGACCATGGAGACACCCACCCACAAAGCTTTTATTGTTTATTGTCTCTGTTGGCCTCTTGGGTGTGACCTTTAAACTGAACCTGGTCTGGCCAATGGGTGTTAGGTAAGATCACTAATTCCAAGAACTTTTTTTTTCACATTTTAGCATCTCTGAAACTAAGAGCCATGTCACAATCAATGGTATGCTGTGGTTTAACGAGCGAAACTTTTTTCTTTCTCGTTGTATATAACGCTACACCCAACAATCAAAACAAGAAATTTGTTACTGCCGTGCGCATTTTGCTTATAAGACAACTGAGGCTCAGAGTGGGAGAAGAGACTCTGGTCTAGGTGACTTCAGGACTCAGGCGCAGGCCCAGGGGCCATCCTTCTGCCAACAGGCCCATCTCCCCAGGACTGAGGCAGGTGAGGAGCTCATGCCCTCAGGACTTCTTCCACCAGCCAAGAGGACAGGGGGGCCTTTTTCTGCCTTACTCAGGCACTATTGACTGCCCAGGCATGGGGCTCTGGGTCCTATTACTCAACAGCAAGCAACTTCGTCTACCCAAAAGAACCAGGGATGCCTGGGTGGCTCAGGGGCTGAGCATCTGCCTTTGGCTCAGGGCGTGATCCTGAGGTCCTAGGATTGAGTTCCGCAACAGGCTCCCCAGAGGGAGCCTGCTTCTCCCTCTGCCTATGTCTCTGCCTCTCACTCTGCATCTCTCATGAATAAAAATTAAAAAAAAAAACACATAATGATTCCATTTATATGAAATGTCCAGAACAGGTAAACATCTATAGAGATCTACAGAAACAAAGTAGATTTGTGGTTACTAGGGGCTGGCAGAGAAAAGAGAATGGCTATTAGTTAATGGGTATGAGGGCTTTAGGGGGATTGACAAAAAGGTTTTGAAATTGGATGTGCTGATGGTTACAGGACTCCGAAAGCCGAATACAAAAGCTATTGAACAGTATACTTTAAACAGGCGAATTGTATAAGATGTGAACTATATCTCAATCAAAGTGTTACTAAAGAGGAAAAAGGTGCCACACAGTTTGGGCCAGCTAGCTGCCAGAAGCAAAGCTAGGGAACTGCAAATGTCCCCAGATCGGGCCCTTGCCATCATTTCATGTCCTACTAAAGAGGAAAATATGTTGCCAAGTAAATGGGTCATAAGCACCCCCATTCCAGAAATAATAAGAGGGGCAACAACGAGTGTCCTACCAAAGCAGGAGACGCGCACTGGTACATTCACAGCAGCTTGTCTGTAACAACCCCAGCCCAGAAACAATGTCTCCACTGACAGAAGCAGATAAACAAATGGTGGTCACTCACGCAGTAAATACTACACAGCAGCTCAAAGGAAAGAACTACAGCTACACACAGCAACGGGGAGGATTCCCGGCCGTTATGTGGAGCAAAAGAAGCCACTTGCAAAAGAACACAAGGCGTGATTTCGTTCACTTAAGTTCAAAACTAAAGTCCACAGCATAGGAATATTCTCAATGGTGGTACAATTTAAAAAGGCAAGGAGCGATGATCACAAAGATAATGGTTTCCTCCATCTGGACGAGGGAGGGGGCTGTGATCTGTGAACAGGTGGGCCCTTGGGGAAGCTGGCAATACTGTATTTCTTGATCAGGATGGTTGGAGGGCTGGGAATCCCTGGGTGGCGCAGCGGTTTAGCGCCTGCCTTTGGCCCAGGGCGCGATCCTGGAGACCCGGGATCTAATCCCACGTCGGGCTCCCGGTGCATGGAGCCTGCTTCTCTCTATGCCTCTCTCTCTCTCTCTCTCTGTGACTATCATAAATAAATAAAAATTAAAAATAAATAAATAAATAAACCTTTGTATTGAACTCTAACGTGCACATGTACAAAAGCACACATAAGTTGATAGCTTTCATAAACCAACACACATGTGCAACTGGCACCCAGATCAAGAAATAAAACATTCCCAACATCCCAGAAACCACCTTCCCCTAACACATTCCCTATGGAGTGACATCTCTCTGTTTCTCAAGGGTGACCACCACCTTCCGACAGCATGGATTGGTTTTGCCTGTTTTTGTGCTTTATATAAATGGAATCATAAAAGATGTATTCTGACGTTTGCTTTTGAATTGCTCTTAGGACCCACAAAGATGTTTGATGTACTTCTCTATATGTACAAATCTCAAAAAACTTACAAGCTACCCACTTATAACCTCTGTGCTTTGGCAATCCCAAAATACAGAGCTTAAAGACAACATAGTGATGAGGCCTATGAGAATACTGACAGCTAATATTTGTCAAGAACTATGCCCAAGGTTTGACATGCAATAACCTCCTTAATCCTTACGACATCCCAGGATGTAGGGACTGTTAGTATCTCCGTTTTACAGGTGAGAAAACTAAGGCTCTGCTGGACTTCATATCACAAGTTCTTTAGGGCTAGACTATGCTGTCAGGAGGCCAAGCTCCAGAGTGGACAGGCCCCAGGCAGGCCATGGCCCCGCCTCCACGTTCCTCAGAGTACAGCTGTTCCTGCCAGTGACCAGGCCCTCCTCCCCCACCTCGTCTCCCCTCACCAAGGTCAGACCTGAGAAAGGGTAGTGGGGAGAGGGGGCCCCACAGAGAAGGCCAGAGACTCACCCATAGTCACTGAGACCATTGTCTCCCCTGCCCTGGTGCTGCTCCCGGGAGCCTGGAAGAGAGAACAAGAGGAGACGGCCCATGAGTTGCCATAGGCTGTTGAGTGTACGTCCCTCCCTTGCTGCCTGTCTGTCTGCGGCCAGAGGAGAGTTCCTGGGCTGGGGGCTCACAGCCCAGGAATAGCCTGAACAGCTGGCAGGAAGTCAGCCTGGGACAGAGCTGCCACCACAACTATCACTGCCGCCTGGGACAAGGCCCAGGGACACCAAATGTCTACAGCTCCATTCCCACACACCTCAACAGGTTTCTGGCTGGAAGAGGAAGAGAGTGAGAGAAAAAAAAGACACCGCTGCTCAAGACTTTAACCATAAATACCCATCAGCCATCCATTCACAAACTATTTACTGACAACCTGGGATGTGCGAGGCACTATTCTAGGAGCTAAAGATACTGGTGTGAACAAAAATACAGAGTGTGACATCTAGGTGGAGACAGGGGAAAGGGGACAACAGAGAATAAACAAACAAACAGATAAGGATACAGTGAGTCACAAAGCCTTTGGTGTCATGCAGAAAACAGGGAGGGCCTGGCAAGGGAGGGAGGGGTTGTGATTGCAAACTGGGTGAAAGGGGAGACCCCTCTAAAGCAACATTCAGAGACCTGAAGGAGGCAGCCCTGTGGTTTTATAGATGAAGAGCGTTCCAGGAGAAGGTACGGCAAGTCCAGTGTCCTGAGCCATCTGGCATGGGTGCGGGCCGGCTCGGAGCCGGAATGACTGCAGTGCAGTGAGTGAGGGGACGGGGGACGGGGGGAGGGACAGGGGAAGGCAGGTAGTAGCTGAGGGCAGAGAGATGGGCCAGCCACCACATTACAAGGGGCCTCGGAGGATAAATGCAAAACCAATGTCTACTTAGGTAAGACAAGCAGGTACCAGAAAGCTGTTAAGGACATATTAGCACTGGGGCGCCTGGGTGGCTCAGTGGTTGAGCATCTGCCTTTGGCTCAGGGTATGATCCCAGGGTCCTCACATAGGGAGGATCCCCGTGGGGAGCCTGCTTCTCCCTCTGCCTGTGTCTCTGCCTCTCTCTCTCTGTGTCTCTCATGAATAACCAAATAAAGTCTTAAAAAAAAAAAGGGGACATATTAGCACCAGCAAGCACCTTTTTCTGAATACTAGTGGCAGCCCTAATAGGAAACTAAAGGGGAAAAACTTCCTTGGTTGATGATTCACTGCGGTCTGCCTCCAGGACCACTCGGCCCACTCAGCCCTCCCATCTTTCTGTGGCCCTGTCCTCTCCTCCAAGCCCTCCACCCTCTTCCTTCACTCTACTCCCTGCTACGCACTCTGGCCCAGATTATTTTTTTTTTAATTTTTATGTATTTATTCATGAGCAACACACAGAGAGAGGTTGAGACACAGGCAGAGAGAGAAGCAGGTTCCTCACTGGGAGCCTTATGTGGGGACCCGGATCACGCCCTGAGCCAAAAGCAAATGCTCAACTACCAAGCCATCCAGGCATCCCCCCTTCTTTTAAAATTTTATTTGAGAGAGAGTGCACCCACACATACAGTGGGGGGAGGGACAGAGGAACAAGAAGACTGACTCCCTGCTGAGCGAGAAATCCCAACATGGGGCTTGATCCCAGGACTCTGAGATCACGACCTGAGCTGAAAGCAGACAGTTAACTGACTGGGCCTCCCAGACACCCTCCTGGGCCCTGATTCTGGTCCTTCTCACTCACCGTTCCTCCGTCGCCTCCACAGGGCGCAGAAAACCCTTTTTGTTCACCATCACACACAATCTGCTCCTCCCAGCCCCCATTCTGACGGTACAACAGAGATAATATGAGAGTAAGGGCTCTGGAACCAGACTGCAGGGTTCAAATCTGGCTCTACCACTTAACAGCTGCATGGTCTCGGCAAGTTACTTCACCAGTCGGGCCTGGGGTCCCCATTTGGAAATCGGGATGGTACCCACATGACTTCCCTCAGAGGAGGCTCTAAGGCCAGATGAGGTTCTATGCATGGAGCACCCGAGGCAGTGCCCATGTACTCTAACAGTCTGGAAGCTAGTCTCACCTTCTAGGCCTCTAGTCTTAATCTGTCCTCCGACACCCATGGGTTTTCCCACAGAAGCTCACCTGTGCCTGGAACGCTTTCTCATCCTGTCCTCCTGGCACGCTCTCCTTCACTCTCTTTGGTTGTCACCCACTTTATGAAGCTTTCCCAGAGTCCGCAGATGTGAGACTCTGCCCTCTGCCTCCAGCTGGGGTTCACCCTAACCTTCTCTGTCTTCTGTTGCATCTCTTATTGATGAACATGACCCTGGACATCACTCTGCCCCATACTTGACTCCCAAGATCTACTTTCCCTTCTGGATTTTGCCACTGGACAAAGACAACACCACTGGAATCTCTCAAAGAGCAGGGCATGGTGAGATTTCAATACGTCAGGCAGATAGACAACATGTCACATACCAAGCACTGATTATGCACCAGGACCTGAGCCAGGCATCATGCTGACACCTCACAATGTCCTCATGAAGAAGGACTATTATTAGCCCCATTTTAATCAATGAAAAAAACCAACTCATCGAGGTACAGTCATCATTTGTCAAATGCCACATCTACCAAGTGACTTTACTGGGATTTGAAAACAGGTTCTTCCTGATTCCAATGCCCATTCAGTAGTTCTTGTTCAAAGTTTACATGCCAGGTATTGAGTATACACAGCTCAGTGTCTCCTCACAACCACCTAGGGAAAAAAGTTAAAATGATCCCCATGTTACAAATGGAAGTGGCAGGTCCAAGGTCACACAGCAAATAACTGTAGGGCCAGGACTTGAACTCAAGGCAGTCCAATGGCTGTGACTCACACTGGCTGAGGGATTACAAGCCAGGCACTGTGCTCAGTGTTTGCAAGGTGTCAGTTAATGCTTACCACAAGCCTTTGAGAACTGGTGTCCTCTCCCTACAGCGGCAGAAGTCCCCCAGCTGGACTTGATTGCCTCTCTCCTCCATTAAAAGCTCATCCAGCGCTGACTTTCTGAACAGTGAAAATTGGAACATTAATAATAATAGCCAATGACAGTTCCTAAAATTCAAGTGATTACCATGTATCAGACTCCCTAGCTAAGCCCTTGAAAAGCTTGGATTGAAATCCCGACTCTACCATTTCTGAGTCTTTGGCTTAACCTTTCGAGATCTTACTTCCCTCATCGATAAAATAAGAATGCTATGAATAGCTATTCTTAAAATGGTTAGAGGGATGATGTGAATCCATAAACACCAAGTCTTTAAAACAATGCTGGGCAGGTGATAAGTGCTATGTACACAGGTATTAAATAAATCAGTTTTGGGGCACCTGGATGGCTCAGTGGTGGAGCGCTTGCCTTTGGCTCAGGTCATGATCCGGGGCATAGAGGGCCACAACAGGCTCCCCACAGGGAGCCTATGTCTCTGCCTCTCTCTCTGTCTCTCATGAATAAATAAAATCTTTAAAAAAATCAATCAATTGGGCAGCCCGGGTGGCACAGCGGTTTGGCGCCGCCTGCAGCCCAGGGCGTGATCCTGGAGACCCTGGATCGAGTCCCTCGTCGGGCTCCCTGCATGGAGCTTGCTTCTCCCTCTGCCTGTGTCTCTGCCTCTCTCTCTGTGTGTGTCTCTATGAATAAATAAAATAAAAAATCTTTAGGGGATCCCTGGGTGGCGCAGCGGTTTGGCGCCTGCCTTTGGCCCAGGGCGCGATCCTGGAGACCCGGGATCGAATCCCACATCGGGCTCCCGGTGCATGGAGCCTGCTTCTCCCTCTGCCTATGTCTCTGCCTCTCTTTCTCTCTCTCTGTGACTATCATAAATAAATAAAAATTTAAAAAAAAATCTTTAAAAAAAATAAATAAAAAATCAATCAATCAATCAATCTTCAGTAAGCCAGAGAAAAGGTAGCCACATGCAAAGTGTAAGTGAAGAATAGAGTGCCAGATAACTTGATAGGATCTGTGGGACTGTGGAATCACAAAGCACAAGTTATTCCCTTTTCAATTCTCTTTCAGCTTCTGTCTACAATGTAAATAGACTATTCTGCTTCTGTTGTATTTCAGGTTACGTTTCCCTTCTTTTTGAGGCCAGCAGTGCTAGTTTTCCATTAGTACACAAATATGAAATTTTCTTCTCAAATTAATTGCCTGGAGGAAAATGTGTATCTTTTTAAATTTTTTTTATTTATTTATTCATGAGAGACACGGAGAGAGAGGCAGAGACACAGGCAGAGGGAGAAGCAGGCTCCTTGCGGGGGAGCCTGATGTGGGACTCCATCCCGGACTCCAGGATCAGGCCCTGAGCCAAAGGCAGACCCTCAACCGCCGAGCCACCCAGGAGTTCCTAAAATGCATACAGTTTTAAAGAAAAAGAAAAATCACAATCTATGAGATCCGGCAAAATTGGTCAAATAGGAAGGGGCAGGATATCAATTTGCTCAATTCCAGATTCCAAGATTTTCCTATTGCTGCCTCCGGGTTTCCTCCTACCCTCTACTTCCTTGGAAGTCCCAGCTACACCAATAATTCTCAGAATCATGATTATCATAGTTCCCAACACATTGAGCTCCTACTCCATACTGTGCGAAGCCCTGTGCTAAGGGATTTATTTACATGCACATTTCATCAGCATCCTCACAGCGGCCCTATGATAGGACTATGAACCTTCATTGTATAGATTAGGAAAATGAGGTCCAGAGAGGTTACGGCACAGGCCCACTGCCACGGAGCTGAGCTGGGACTTGAACCGAAATCGGCGGGCCTCCAACTGCACGCTCCCACACCCAGAGCTTCCACGCCAAGCGCAAACATGATCACCGGTACAACACCAACAATGATAGCACGGTAATGAAGTGTGCAGTGTGCGAGGCGCTGAACTAGGGTCTCCGACATGCACGAGCTGACCTCTCACTCTAACCCAGACGGAGGATGCCACAGTCAGATTCTGGCCCCCATTCTACAGAAGAGGAAACTGAGGTTCAGAGAAAGAAGTCGCTTGTCCGGGCCGCACAGCGACGCCGAGACTGATTCCAGAACCAGGAGGCCATCCATCCCCTCCGCATCCGGCCCAGCCCCACCACCCGGTGGCCCGCGCCTCACCTGACCCTCCGGGCCCCGCGCCCACACGCGCCGCCCGCCCGCCCTCCCGGCGGCGCCAACTGTCAGACCCTCCTCCCTCGGCCCGGCTGCCCGCCCCGGAAGTACCGCCCTCGCCGCCGGAAGCCGGACCGACAGGCCCGCGGCCGCTCTAGCCCGCCGGGCCGCCACCAGCGAGAGTGCGGCCGCCACCGTCACGTGACCTCCCCGTCTCCCCGGCGCTCCCCTCCGCCCCGCGCTAGCGAGGAGCGCGGCCAATGAGAAGCGCTCTTGCCTGGCCCCCGCGGGCCCGCAGTCCAGCCGGAGTGCGCCTGCGCGCGGCGGGGGTGGCCAGGCGGGGCTCCAGCCTGGAAGGTGCGTGCCGGGCTGGGTCCGGGAGTGGGAGACGTGGAGTGCAGGTACTGTGCGATCTGGGGGCGCGGCGCCTCTGCAACCCTCTTCGTGTTGTCCTTCCCTCTGTAATGCAGTTCTCCGCTTATGTGGTTCGATGTCTCTCTGTGTAGCCGTCCCTCCCTTTCTGTCGCATCCCGGTTAAATGGTCACCACCGCACTTCTGTCGCCATCACCTGCCTTCTGTCTCTGTCGACCCCCTTAATTCGCTTCCGTGCTAAGCCCGCATTGCCGCTCAGCGTTGCTGCCTTCCCCCTTTACGCTGCCATCCCCTCATGTCGCCTGCGCCCCTCTTTTGTTGCTACTTTTTCCTTAATGAAGCCTTCACCTCTCCTGAGCCGTCATCACACACCCCGTTCACCTTCACACGTCTTCTGTCACCTTCTCCTTATATCGCGGTCACGCGTCCCTTATGTCATTTTCACCCTTTATGTGTCCGCACCTCCCGTGTCTCCTCTGCTCCTGACAGTCAGCGTCGTGCCTTATGTTCCGAGTTTCCCCCATAAGGAGCCACTCTGCCTTCCAGTTGCTTCTCATCCCTTTATGTGTCTGTCATTTCCCCGTGTCACTTCCCACTCACCACCGTAGACGCTCCTCGAGCCGGTTTCCTGGGGGTGTCCCAGAATCCCAGCTCCACCACAGAACCTCTGGGTAACCTTGACCACCTGATCACACCTTTGCACTCTCAGCTTCCTCATCTGTAAACCCGCACAAGGACACCTGCGTCCAGGATGATTGGGAGGATTCTGCGAGTGTATTCTTGTGATGTGCGCAGCTTGATGTGGCGATTTGGGCTCATTATGTTATTAACCGTGTCACCCTCACCCTCATGCAGTCACCTCCATCACCTCTCCATTGTCACTCCCCCGCCTTCCCTCAGCTGCCCTCTTCATTCTCATGACGTCAGCACACTCCCTGTATCATGATACCCTCTGCCCCGGCAACCACCCCACGCCACCCCAAGTCACAATCTCCATGTCCTCATCTCTGCCACGTCACCCCACCTGAGGGGGTGGCCCATTGGCCATCACAAACCTTGCTTGGGTAAATACTTAATCCCTAATCTCTACCATGTTGGATTGAGTGGTTTGCCCACCCCCAAAATGAGAGCATGGAGCTAATGCCCTAGTGGGAGTCCAGGAGTAGTTGGGGGCAGGGGGCAACTAGCTGGCTTAAACCCAGATTCCCTTGACTTCTGGAGTTGGAAGTACAGGGAGATGAGGCAGGTCCCACACACCTCAATTAAACCTCAGCAACCCTGAATGCCTGGGTAGAGAGGTAAGAATCTTATTCACTCAGCTTGCCTTAGCGAGGCAGTGTGGGACAGTGGTTAGCAATGTGTGCCTGGGAGCTGGAACCGTGGTTCCGATCTTGGTTCTAGCAAGTACTTAAATAGTGGCATGGCCTCCAGCAGGTGGCTTCACATTCCTATGCTTCAGTTATTGCATCTGCAATATGGGAATACAAACACAAGTTATTCATTTGCCTAAATATTTATTAAGCACGTTCCTACATGCCCAGCACTATACTAGGCATGGGGGAGCGGGGCACAGCAATAATCAAAACGGACAGAGATCCCTGGCTTCGTGGAGTTTACATTCTAGCAGGGGTAAGAGACAACAAGTGAACAGGTAAGTAGATTCTATGATGTGTTAGAAAAGGGATGGGAATACATGGTAAAGGTTATAGTTTTATATATTTTTATATATTTTTAAGATTTTATTTATTTATTCCTGAGAGATACAGAGAGAGGCAGAGACATAGGCAGAAGGAGAAGCAGGCTCCCTGAGGGGAACCTGATGTGGGACTTGATCCCAGGACCCCAAGATCATGCCCTGAGCTGAAGGCAGACACTCAAATCACTGAGCCACCCAGGTGCCCCAAGGTTAGAGTTCTAAATATAGGGGATCAGGGAAGGTTTTCTGAGGTGGTACATTTGAACAAAGACTTGAAGGAGGGGAGCGGTTGACGTGGCTCTATGGGGAAGAGCATTCTAGCCAGAGAGAACAGCAAATGCAAAGCCCCTGAGGTAGGGGCATGCATTGAATATTTAAGGAATAGCAAGGAAGTCAGTGAGGGAGGAGAGGGGTGGGGGTGAGGTTATAGAAGTGAGGGGGCAGATCATCTGGATCTCATGGGCCATGGAGAAGACTTTGGCTTTACTCTGAGTGAGGCAGGAGCCACGGGAGGATTTGGAAGAGAAGAAAGAAAGAAATCTGATGTGATGTGAAACAGCAGCAGCAGCTCCAGGACTCCTATCAAGGATGGATTGGCAAGAGCAGCCAATTTGGTTGGAAGGCGTGCCAGAGTTAAAGCTGCACTCCCATATCCTTTATATTTGGAGAAAGCTTCCAACATCCCTCTCAAAGACTGGAAGGGAGAGGAAGGGATGTTGGGAGAGTGTTTGAGAAGCCAGTGCCACCTCTGGGTTCAGGTGCTGTCGGGGGCGGAGGGGGGACAGGGGTGGGCACCCACAGATCTACAGATGATAAACAACAGGAGAGGCAGCTCTCTACACCTGGGACCCTGAGGCAGCTCAGAATCAAATCCTGGCTTCACCGTTTCCTGGCTGTGTCCTTCTGTGCCAATGACTACACCTCTCGGTCTCTGGTTTCCTTATCCGTTATTCGGGGCTAAGAAAAGGACGGTTGTGAGCAATGAAACACATAAAGTGCTTCCAGCAGCACTTGGTTGAGTAAACAAGGAGCCCTGCCCTCTCGCCCCACTTCCTGCCCTCTCCCCGGGGAGGGGCGGGCAGGGGGAGGTGGGCAACAGAAAGACATTCTGTCCTATTTTATGTTCATGAATTGGTTCGACATCATAATGTCCGGGAACAGAACCGAGCTCTGGGTTCGAATTCCGTGCCTGCAAAAGGACACTGCACAACCCCAGCAGAGATTCCCTGACCCCTACTGCCTCATCTGAAAAACAGTGCTCTGCCCCATGATGTGCAGTGGTGTGTTATTTTTGAGCTGAGACATCAACTATTACCATCATGGTGCCATTATATCCCTCTCCTGCTTTATTTTTCCCCAAGACACATACTCTATGTTTCACTCATCTATATGTGGCCTCCCCCAAAAGAATGTCATCTTTACCAGGATTTTTTTTTTCTGTTTTGTGCTGTATTCCCAGTTTTCACCCAGTCCTTACCAGCAAGTAGTTACTAAACAAATACTAGTTGAATGAACAGACGGATGAATTGAGCCTTGTCCTGCCCCTGTACTGGGTTGTACTGGGTTGTACTGGGCACACAGCAGTGGCTGAGACAGCCCAGTGATGATGCCCTCATGGGTTTCACGGTCCAGTGAGACAAATTTGTCACTGGGCAGTGGCATCCCAGAGGGCTGGGATTAGGAGAAGCATAGGCAGAGGATTAGGGCTGGGATGGAGAAGCCCAGGGACCGTTGGAACCCAAAGAGGGAATTCTGGACCAGCCCAGGGATCTGGAAGGGCTTCCTGGAGGAGGAAGCACATGAGCTGATGGAATGAACGACATGAAAAGAAGAGAAAGGTGTGCTGGGCAGGAGCAGCAGCTGTGGGAGTGTTTGGTGGTAAAAGTGTGGTATCAGTTCGAGGAATCGAAAGATACTAAATATGGATGGGATGTAAAGGATGGTGAGACAGTAAGCTAAAGAGATCATTAAGGGGAGATCATTGAGGGCTCTGGGAACCAGTGAGGAGCTGAGTCTTTGTCCTGAGGACACCACAGGGTGGTGGGCGATAGAGGTTTTTGAGCAGGAGAGGGATGAGTTTGACTCAGATGAGGGGGAGATTAGAAGGGTTGAGTGGAGGTTGGGAGCCAAGGGAGGTGGCAGGAGTGGGGACCCAGGTGGGAAAGGGCAGTCTGAGTCCACAAGTTGTGGAGGGTCCAGGATTGAGGCCTAGGGCTCCAGGGCAGTCAGGGAGGGTTTTCTAGAGGAGGCGGCACACAGAATGAGACCTGTGGGATGGAAAGACAGCTGTCCTTGAAGTGGGGACCGAGGAGAGGAACAGGTTTGGAAGAGATGCTAAGGACAGTTGGGGACATGGTGTGAGGGGTGTGGGAGAAGCATCTAGAAGGCCATGGGACTTCCAAAGCTAAAAATCAGGGAAGAGATGAGAGCTGGGGTCAGCTTTGGGCCCTGGAGGACATAGTAAGAAGTTTGCCCTTTGTTCTGAGGGCGGTGGGGAGCCATAGAGGGGCTTTGAGCAGGGATGAAACAGCCTAGATATTTGAGTTCCAGCTCAGAAATATTCACCAATCATGATGTGTTTTGTTGTTGTTGTTTTCTTGTTTTGTTTTGGTTTTTTACCTATTTGTTTTTCAGACCGAGCATCTTCGCTCCCTAGGAAGGGCACATTCTAGGGGTCCTTTGAAATAAAGGTTCTGCTGCTAAAAACAAAACAAACAAAGTTTACAAAACCAGTGCTCTGTTCTGTTTTCTGTAGACCTGATCTCAGACAGCTGATTGTCCAGTCCAAAAGGGTCTGCACAATCAAGTGAAAATCGGCTCCTTTTAAACACAGTTCTGTGTTGAACCATATGGAAGGTCCATATGTTTGTAAATGTTTCCTGGGGAGTAGGCTGTTGGGCACTTCAGCAGCTCTCTCCGATGACTTGAAACAACCATAAATTGACCTTGAACTTTACTCTCGGGCTGAAAGGCCATAATCTGCACCGACCCATTTGCTCAGGGCTTAGAGCACATGCGGGTTATCATTGTGTATAAAACAAATGTCACTAGGTCTAGAGGGACTTCTATGAAAGTCTTTTCGCCAAGGTTTCCATTCTACTCCATTTCTTCTGTTTTCAACAAACATTTATGGAGTGCTTATGATGTGCTGGGCACCAGGAGCAGGAAAATAAACCAAACACAGACTTAGCTTTGTAAGGGACACATAAGCCTATCTGTGATAAAAGTATGTACAGAGTACGGGGGACACACAGATCTCACCAGCAAGCTGTTTTGGGGGTTTGCTAGTCTGCCTCTCTGCCATGGATGGGTTCATTGACTCTTCCCAGCAAATGTGAAGTTGATGTGTCAAATCTCCCTGTTGGTCTGAGGGTGAAAGTAAGGCTCAGAGAAGGGAGCCTCTCTTCCCAGGAACACACAAGTGAGATCTGAACCCAGAGTAGTAGGACTCTGAGACTTGCTCCCTTAAAATATTCAAAGATCCCCCAGCCTCCGTGCCCCAGATGAGTATGAGATGATCCCCATTCTATAGAGAGACTAGTGGGGCTCAGAAAAATAAAGCCCCATATCTGAAGTCAGTAAGAGTGACAGGTGGGATTTGAACCTTGGAATCTGCAGTCTAAAGCACTGCTACAAAGGAGGAATCAAATCTCCCGCCCCCACCCATGGGTGGGGTGTTCAGGAACCTGTGACCCAGCACGTGTCTCAGAAACCCAGTGAGTTTTGCTTCCTCCTTTTCTGTGGGCTGTGGTGTCACACCCCAAGGCAGGCAGGGCACAAGCCAAGGGGCAGGGAATATCCTCTGGGCTGGAAGGGGCACACTTGGTGGCAGAGATGCACCCCGAGACCAAAGAAGCAGAGCCTAGGGTCCAGCCTGGGCATTGCCCTGGAGCCCCATGGGGGGGGGGGTTCTAGGTTACAGAGAAGGCAGGGACTGAGCTGAGCTGAAGGAAATGCCAGCACCTGTCAGCCTGGCTCTGTCGGTCATGCCACCTTCGACTTTAGCCTCCACTGCGCCTCTCGGGGATCTGGGGACGGGGGTGCTGGGTACTTATCCAACTGAGGCCATAGTCTTTTTCTGGAAACTGTGATGTGGAGGAAGAGGCATCCCAGCTAGGAGTCTGAGCTTCATAATTTAATTTCCAACGAAGTCCCATGTGTGTTTAAAAAAATAGTAACTAAAAGCCTATAATGGAAAGCAAGCATCTTGCCTTGGGGGTGGCGGGGGAACACGGAAAAGGGTACCTTTTTTTCTTTTCTTTTTTTTTCCTTTTTTTTGGGGGGGGGGCTGTCAGGACCCTTGACACAATCACATTTACTGAGAACCTCTTGCGTGTCCATTCTATACACTTGCTAGGTAGTAATTTCTTTAGCTCCAAGGAGTCGCTTCTCAAATTTCATATGTTCAGAACACACACACACACACACACACACACAGTTTATTTATTCGTCCAGTCATTCATTTAACTTCTTTTCAGCCGTTTCCTAAATTTGCTCATCTTCAGCCTTCCATAAATCAGCTATTGGGGCTTCTATCCTTGACAGTCGCTCAGACCAAAACCCTTGGCTGTAACACACACACACACACACACACACACGTGTCCCCCACACAGCTAGAGGGAGTCTGCAGGCACCTCTATCAGTTCCCTGTGGCTGCTTTAACAAATCACCACAAACAGTGTGGCTTAAGACAACCAAAATTTATTCTCACCGTCCTGGAGGCCAGATGTCCAAAATCAAGCTGTTGGCAGGGCCATGCCCCCTCCTGAGACTGTGGAAGATTCCCTGCCTCTCCCAGATTTTAGTAGCTCCAGGCATACTTGGGTTTGTGGCCGTATCACTGCAATCTCTGCCTCCCTGGTCCCGTGGTCTTCTCTGTCTCTCAGAGACAGTTGGCATTGTATTTAGGGCCTACCCAAATGATCCAGGATGGTGTTATCTCAGAATCCTTAATTTAATTATACCTACAAAGACCCTTTTTTTCCAGTTAAGGTCATATTCACGAATTCTGGAGGTTATGGCCATGTTGGATATATATATATATATTTTTTTGAGGCCACCATTTAACCACCTACAACACCCAAGGCAGATCATGTCTCTCCTCCACTCAGAACATACCCATAGCCCTGTCCTCCTCATCACAGTCCAGGCAGCCCTGCGTGATCTAGTCCTGTCACCTCTCTGACTCCTCTCTCCTTCTTCCCCACTGTCTACCCCACTATAGACACACTGGCCTCCTTGCTCTTCTCTACCCACATCAGGCACATTCCCGCCTCATGGCCTTTGCACTGGCTATTCCCTCTGCTTGAAACACTCTCCCTAGGAAGTCCATTTAGTTCCCTCCCTCCCCTTCTTGATGCTTTTTTTCTCAGGTATCCCCTTCTCAGCAAGGCTCTCCCAGACCCCCTTATTTAAAATTGCTCATCCCTACCCCTGCCCTGCTTCCGTATGGCATTTATAACCTTCTAACATAATTTACTTATTATCTCGTTTTTTTGTCTGTCTTCCCCGGTGTCTATTTTGTTCAAAGCGATGGTATTTCTAGTGCCTAAAACAACACCTGGTACACGGATACTAAGTGTGTGTGAAATTAATAACAGCCTTATGAAAAGTTGGTACTATTGCTACCATGACCATCTTACAGATGGGAAAACTAAGGCACGGATTCCTTGTCACTTCTCAAGGTCAGTCACATAGTGCTACAGCTCATATTCAAATCAGGCTTCTGGCTCTGGAATCCAGGATTAACTGCCTTGCAAT